ACACAAAACTATAACTTTATTGATATAGATTAACTGGGTTTGAATGTTAAATAGGCTACCGTATCTAAAAAAAATTATAAAACTTCTTTTATAGTTTTACAAATAGTGCTGGGCGGGGGAATAATGTTTCTCATTTGTTGTGTACATCATTTATGGGGGGGGGCTGTTGCTCAATTGGGGGGGGGGGGGTGCGTCATGCGTCTAGGGGGGGATGGGCACCCCTGCCTACTTCCCAACCTTGTAGCGTAATATTCTTTTACGTCCTCGGGAACAAAATACCAGAACCTTAATATCTTAAGCCTCTAATGTTAAGGGATCTGAATGGTTTAAACACAAGACTCACAAGTATTCGTGCACTTGCTGCTTCTTGGCAGCAGGCAGGTTGAACGCAAGCATCTTAAAGCTGGTGGAGGGGATGAGATCAGGTGTACTGTGCCGAGGAGCTGTTATGACTGTGTCAGGCCCCATCAGCTGTTGAAGCTCTTGCTCTTCTCGGCCCAACACTGGCTTCAGCATTCTACTCCAGCTGCACTGTGAATTTATTTCTACCTCAGCTTGTTCTTCTTCCATTGCTAATATTGTTAAAAATCTCTGCCGTACCTGCTTTTCCTCTGTGAAAATATTAGGTCTACGTAATCAAATGATTGACTATAAAGGTGAAGGCATGAAGAGGTATTTTATAAATTTTCTCTAACAAATAGCAAACAGCTACTCATCAATTTATTAAAAAGAAATTATATTGTTAATTTAAAGAAGTTGGTGGCTTCTTTTAACCTTGCATTTGCCTATCCACATAGGTCTCGAGCAGTGGTGGTTCCAAGGGGGGCTATAGTGGCTAAAGCTCCCCCATTGAACCTTGTAAACATAAATGTAAACATACCTTTTGTCATCAAAAAGTAATGGAGGTTGTTAGACCTAGTTATAGACCTTAAAAATGGCTTCCTAGAACCGCCACTAGTCTTGAGCCTGTGTGTGGAATATATCCCGCAAAACAAGGGGTGAGCCAGTAAAATACAAGAGTCTAATAAAATTTAGTGGCAAGAACCAGGATGCAAACAATGTCAACACGGCCATGAATTTGTAGACTGTCTTGCTACCAAACGAGCCACTGACTCACTAAACTAACCTGCTAAAAACTGGACCCAGCAACCATAATGCTCATAGTCATTAGCAGCCTAGCAAGGCTTTTACAGGAGGCTAGTTTTTGACGATGAATATTCGACTGATCTCATTCACTCAAAAAAGCTACTAAAAGGTACTTTGGTATTGTGCCGAGACCACATATTCTACTGTGCGCTGCAGCGGCTATGTTTGGTTGGGTTATCACAAATATATTAAATTTGCGGGACCTTCCTTGTTTTGTTACGAATCGAACGATACCAGATGAGTCATCCTTTCTATTTATGATAACCCAATTAACCTAATATAACCGCCGCAGCGCGCTGTATAAGGGTGGCCTCCGTATAGTACCAAAGTACCCAAGCTACTAAATATTTCACCCATCCCACATTTTCAGACTATCCGTAGGCGTAAGTGGGTTAAAATACACCTTATTTGTGTAGGCCTATCTGTCTTATTCGAGCTGTTTAGTGATAAAGAATGACAAATGTCATGACTTAATGTTGAAAAATGGATTTCAAAAATGCCATTATTTGTCTTCATGGTCCATATGATTAAGGTGATGGGGAGACATATACTTGATGCTACTTATACCAGGCCTATGTTAATTCAAAAGTACAACACTTAGCAGATTAAAGTTTAATAGTGGAAGAAGATTTGGTACTTTAGGAATGAGGTTTGAAATGATCTTGTTTACTCATGTGATTTCTTACCTCCTGGATTAAAAATTTATACAAAATAAAAATAACTAGGTAGGCTATGTTAATTTTTCACATAACACATGATGCTTTAAGCATTCACTGCTACGCATCGTGATACATAAAATAAACATGAACGGCACATTTACAGTAACTGTGTACCGTACCAAATCGGCTAGGCCTACAGTTCCGCAGAGGACCTAGGATACTATGAGATTAAATATTAGCAATGAATACAGAACCTATAAGAAGCGAAACCGCCATATTAAAATAGGCGACGCTACGAAGCGGCAGTCCATGAAGATTTATGTAGGAAGTGCTAGTGTTGCCAGCCAAGTCTTTGTGAACTACTGTTAGCGGCAATCTTCGTTGCGCCGCCTCTTTTATATTCGCTTCTTATAAGGTTCTGTTCTCATTGATATTAGTTCGATATATATTGTAAGGGATGTTGTTTTCACCCAATATTATATTGATTGTATATAAAATGAAAATTTTAAGCCATATGGTCTTTTTAAAGAAGACTCTTGTATACTGTGCTGTAGCGGTGAATTGAGTTTGGCTTGGTTTAGTTTATGGTGATAGCCTAACAAACAAGGTAGCCTAAGTTAACATTTTATGTTGATATGTCGTTTGTTACAAGAGGTCGTCAATTTGTGTCCTCTTTTTTAGGAGTTTGTAATAAGGTCAACATTTTATTTTGTAAGTTAAATATTAATTTTTTTTATTATCACAAAATGTATTTATTAGATCTAACATAACCTAGATGCTACAGTACATTTTAAAGGAGGGCTGGCTCTCTTCTTGAATAGGCCCATAACAACAACAGAAATCAAATATTTAAATAGAATGAAAATTTTAAATTTTAATGAAATAGTCTATGTTATATTCTAATGTAATTTATAGGTTAAAGCCCATAGTAATTAAATAATTGAAGCAGATAAGTTGTCTCAAGTTAAGCCAATTATACACAGTTAAGAGTGTGGATGTTTTAGTACAATTTCAAAACAGGTAGGCCTACTTACAAATTAAGTTTTGTTTCTGTAATATTACCCTCATTAAGCTACAAAAAAATACATTATTTTACCTACCTCAACTATTATTCATACTACTCATCTTCTGAGCATGGGCTAAGCATGGCTTAATCTGTTTTCTAATATTGATCTAACTTCTACATTACTAAACAACAAAATACAAAATACACTTCCCATAGCAGTAGCTTAGCTACAGCTACTACTTGTTTGTTTACAAAATATAGCAGACAGCTTTGATCTCAACCAAGGAAACGGAAACAGATGTCAGCTGAGACAAGCCGAGACTAGGCCGAGACAGACGTCAAGGAAGAAGATAAACTGTTGAACGACATGACCATTGACTATATATGACCCACGGCCGCCTTTAACTCCTGACCCTACGAAGTCGACATCTCACAAGGTCGAGTCAATTGAGAAAAAATCAAAAGTGCCCCAAAGCATCGAAAGTCAATGATTAATTTGAATAGTAAAATTATACTTCTCATCATATATATACAAGATGCCTATTTTTATGGATGTTCCATATTTATTGACTTCGTTTTTCTCTCTTATTTAGGGATGTTGAATTTTACTTTGGTTGTGATTCCAGAAGACAAACAATTGAAAATGGGGGTTGATAATGGGATGATAAAAAATAAATATTAATAAACAAACAGTAAAAAACTAAATTCACTATACAACAAACCATACGCAACTAACCTTAAAATTGTCTTCAACCAATCCAAATGTATGAATCGGCCGAGGTTCATAATTTCAAGTTTTAATAATTTACGGTTTATCTCTAATGTTTTAATAAGTTAACAGTTTTCAGCCGACAACCCCATAGCTTTGGCATCCGCAAGACTGGTGACTCATAGGCTAAACCAGCAAATGTTACCAAAAAATCCTACAGTTATAGTTATGGAATCTTCTCTGTAAACATTAGGCGTACACCGTACAACTACGCTTCAATTAACTATGTGTGTGTGTGTATTATAAAAACAGAACACAAACGGATGGAACCCTCCCTCTACGACAGTACTCGACCATCTGTTTTAATCATGTATACTGGACTAATGAATGGAATACCTAAAGAATCCATGTGTAGGAGAGACATGTTCATAGAGGTATATGGAAACTTCACAGCTATTGTGCATACATTTCTGTCATGGCTTATATTGGGACACACCAATCCGTGAGCTTGAGGCGCAGCTACAGATCCAGCCACTACAAATTAGAGACGTGTAATCGTTGATGCAGTCTTCCTATTCAAACTGATCAAATCTCTTCTCGACTGCTCTGAACTTCTATAGAATAGATCTTGCTGTAAGAATTACCTAGAGGAACGCGTTCCAGAACCCCTTTCTAGTGACGCTCCCAGCCGACACTTTTTGCCTACCACAGCGGTCTGTCCAGGTTGCATCGAATGGGGAGTCAAATTCACACACATCATAACTTCTTCTCTGGTAGGCCCTACAACTGCTTCTTTCACTAGATGGGTTGGTGCTGTGCTAAGTGAAGCTATGTGAAAGCTTTATGTTGCTGTTATTGAACCGCCACGATTTTTATGGCCGTCCCGAGATACTTGAACCGCCACGATCATTAGAGCGGATTATAAGGGTCAGTTTTGCAGGGTTGTAAAACAATTGAACCACCACGCGGGTTCTGCCAGGTAGCGAGGGAACTTTTCGAAATATTTACCCCCCCAGTTCCCCATTTTGATATAGGATTGACTAAAATAAGAGCCAAGATTCAAGACTAGTGTGAGCAACAAACTGCAGTTCTCACCACAGGAACCCAATGTATATATGGAGGGTATTCGTTCAAAATTTCAAGTTATGAGAACCGTTATAAAGCATATGAATTAGAAAAGAATCATACAGACAAATAAAGTTATAAGCCCTGACAGAAATATATGCTCAATGGCTGTGAAGCTTTTCCTGTTGTTCTCTGTACGAACAGGTCCCTCCTACACAATGTACACAATAACATAGATTAAACATACTCCTCAAGGAGTATGTTTAATCTATGACAATACACAGTCATGGATTCTGTATTCCATCAGTTCAGTCGTTCAGTCAGTCTACATGATAAAAAAACAGAGGTACTTTCGTTCGTAGTTAGAGTAGAAGCAGAAGGAGAACGAAGGAGACTTTAGTTTTCATCTGTTTGTGTTTGTATTCTCATCTCATCCTGTTTGTTTATAATTTTGTGAACTGCGTTGGTTTGGTTTGGGTTTGGCTGATGTTGAATCATGTTGGTTGATGATTGTCCGATGAATATCGAATGAACGACACTCCCCCTTACCTAATCCTCTTTGCACGGATTTATTCTCTAACTTAATTATCTTTTAACTTAGTTATTACTGTTTGATCAAATAAATTCAGATAAAGTACAGCTTCGATGAGTGTTTTTAAGAACATCTTTAGTTTTTCTGATTACAGTTTAATCAGAATTTTAAGAATTTCATTTTAACCACCAAGGTAAGTTCGAATTATCCTAGAAATATTTTTTATAAGCATTAGTTTAAGATTTTGTTTTTGTTTTCCTGCAAAATACTTATAGGTAGGCTAGGCTTAGTGTGTTACTAAAAATCTGCGATGAGAAATTCTGCCTAATGTTTAACCTAAGCACACTGTAAAGCACGGGTCACACTAGGCTGGCATCAGCGGCGAATTGAAAGAAGCCGCTTCTGTAAGCTTAATGTGACCACAAAATTCGCAGCTGGTACCGCTAGCCGGCGAGTAAGTTATTTGTCAGCGACTGGCAAAGTTCGACATGTTCAACTTTTGGGAGCAAGGCAGCGGCGACTAGAGGTCACGTCACCACTCGCACTTGCTGACACCAGCGAGCAGCGTAGTCTGACCACCTCTAGAAGCATGTCAGCGGCGACCGAAGATAATTTACAACTTGGTTTAACACAAAAGGACAATAGCCACTGTCTTATTTTTTAATTAGAGGTTAAACTAATTCTAGTAATTCCTGGATGGCGACTTTCGTAAAACATGTCTGTATGTTTCTGATTAATCTTTTAGTGGGTTTAAAAACATGGTATTAAAAAAAGATAATTTATTTATAAATTATTTGTATCCATGGCCTGGTCCACTAACGTCTCTTCTTGCGGTTAAGCATCTTTTAATAAAATTACCTAGGCCTATTTCTCTTTCACACACATCCTCAATATTAAGTGCTGGTTTATGAGGACCCAAAAAAGGACGAGATTGCGACAAGAACTGAGCTTTAAACAAGGCGATTAAAAGTAGGCTACTATTTGTAAGTTAGCATAGAAATTATTGAGCTTAGGTGGTCGAGGAAGCAAGTTATTGATTTCTTAAATTTTTTCCAAAACTATATTTACGTGCTTGTGGGACGTTTCTCTAAAGAAGTAAAAACATCAAATAAGCAGCTTACGGTGATTTGTTGCAAAACCTCACAGCTGTTCCTTCTCAAACATCGTTAATAAGTGGCTGACAAGCAGCCTAGTGTGATCCGTGGATAAGCCGGCTGCTTGGTGGTGCTGGTGCCAGCCGCTGATCACTAGCGGCTGGCCAGCAGCCTAGTGTGACCTGTGCTTAAGTATGGATGACGTGAGCACTTGCTATGGTAATTACAATAAGTCAGAATCTTCAGCAAAACAGTGGTAGGCATACATGAAACCAGGGTTGCCACATTTGGTTGGGGAAAAATCTGGACAGGCCCCCCAGATTAACATGGGCATAAACACGGGCACATGGGACCGAAATCGGGACTGTCGCCACAGTCACAGAATCGGAATGGGTAACCCTAAAGAACTCTTCACTCTGAGAGGTTTGAACGAAATATATATGGAGGACATGCATGGACTGTGGGATAGGCCTATATAAGCCTACATTATGCATAGTGTTATCTAGTCCTAGGGCTATCTTTTTATTTAATTCACATGGAGTTTTAAAATATCAAATTACTCTCACAGAATCACATTCTGGAGAGCTGTAAAGGCTGTTCCTCCTCAATCAGACAGAGACTGAATCGTATGGCACAGTAAATGTCAGTAGGCCTAAGTTGTGAGCCTGTTTAACAAGAATATATGTTGTATTCTGTTTTCTAATATATTTAAATTGTAGAGTTCTAAGGTACCGGTACCTATAATATAGCCTAAACTAAATACTTTTATCCCTGAAATTGGATATACTTACTAAAACAATTAAGTTAGTATTAAGTTATTGGGCACGTTCTGGGAACATGTACCGGTGCACTAGTGCAGATGAACCGGTGACTTACTCACCATTACTACGCCGGGGCAAAGAGTCTTGGTATCCCAGAACGGTTAGTCACTGGTTTACGGTACACATCGGATTATAATTTACACATCTAACTTACCTACTATTTACTTAAGAATAAACAAACTTACCCATCAGAGTAAATTATTTGAAAATTATTCACTTATTACGTAATATAAATTCCCTCATAGAATAAATTATTCACTATCAAACTGATGAACCTTATCCGATGGATCTTGTCGTAGCTGAATACTTTTGTCCACGAAACTGACCAATCAGAGGCTGTCAGTGTATTATGCACCGTACAATTTTTTCGTTGCATTAATCTTGCACTGGTCTCGAAAAAGACGTAATAGCTGTCTGCTAGGTTATCTCACCAGTCTCCGAGAATGGCGTAATTTAAGGGACCGGTCAGTGTTCCCAGAACGTGCTCAATGTTGACTGCTGCAAAACCCTTTTCAGAAGGGCTGTAAAGTATTGTTCTGCACTTGCACTCATAACCTTTTTTTACACTACGGTATTGACATTTGCTTGTTTTCTAGCCTAGGCTGCCTTATTTACTAATATTAATAGGTTATACCTTATTTACGTCTTCAATCCAAGTAGTTTTTTATGATGACTATAGTTTCGGGGCCAACAGCCCCATTGTCAAATCTTCTGTTTTGTTAAATTACTTTTTGTCTTAGAATACAGTGGAACCTCAAAAAATAAAATTTTCTCATTTCACAGCATGAAAAAGTAAACATGTTAATCTTAATGGTAGGCTATATAACAAGTTTACTATTACGGTATACCATTAACTTATGATACCATTATAATTAACAAGGGAATTTAAAAAAAGGTTTTAGACTAAGTCTTCACACCTAATTGTTTAAACCACCTCTACATAAATTGAGCTTCAAACAGAAAGGGAGTTTTTAAATAACTCCCTAGTTATTTAAACTTTGGTAGGCTTAACGTCAATCTTTTGACGGAAAACCTCAACAAATTAAAGGTTAATATCACCCTACAACGCTAGCCTAATATACCATAAAATCAATTTCTGATACTGTTAATCTGAACAAGTTACTATAATATCATCCAGCCCCATCAGTTGTTTATCCTCAGAGACTCAAATTATCATTGAATAAACATTTAACTCTATTGACTCTATTTGTTATTGCAGGCAATAATGAACATTACAAATGGATTCCTGGAAGCCCAATCCTCATGCTGTGCCTTTTGTGCCAAGGAAAAATGCTGGAAAACTTTTCATCCACCACCATCGTTTTGTAAAGGGTTCTATGAGCAAACATAAACTGTTGGCCAACATATTTCAGGTAAAAGTTACCACAGTGAACTAAGTCTTATTTTCTTACTAGTAATGAAAAGATAATTTCTTTGAGCAAAATGCTTTTATTTATTGCGGCAAAGGAACATTTGCACAGGCTGGGCGCTGGTGATGTGAGTCAAATGACCCTTGACTTGAAACACTTATAAATGGGTATTCGTCCAAAGCCATTTGGAACATCCAAAGATTGGGCATTTGTAGTAGACTCTGAAAATCTTCCCTCCTCAAAGCCTATTTTCTAGGCTAAACATATTTTTGTGACATTAATTTACTTTAGAATGCTAAACAATCAGGGCCTTTTCTAAGATCGATTAATTGTAGGCCTACTGAATATTGCCTCAGGGATTTCTAATTACAACTTGATACATTTATGTTTATCATAGTCTTCCTAAACATCATCAGGCATTCATCATGTCATGTTGCAATATAGTAGGCTGAGGTTGCCTTATTAGCGTTCTAAGCGTACTGTGGTCTCGTAGATAATAGATAGTTGAGGTTTTAAAAAACTTAGTTTCCTACTAATTTTTTTTTTATATGGGAGAGATTGTACATCTTTTAGGTAAAAACTTTTGGTACGTTACTATACGTTCTGAATTATTTGATTGAAGTAATTGTTTACAGTTTACATAAATGCTGTAAAAGAGCAAGTTAAACTACAATCGGAACTTGATAAAAAATATGTTATATTTGTTAGCCATGTCAATAGCTACCACACTAGGATTTGCGACTTTCGCTACTAGTTTCTACCTGGCAGGGTGAGACATCAGCCCTGACTAGGGACGTAGCAATCTTCTCTTTCGATACCATAGGTATTGGTCTAGGTATCAAATCAAGCGAGTCACTATCAAAAGAAGTCTATTTATTTATTCAAACGGTAAATAACAAATTCTGTGAATAAAGAATTAATAATATGACACATGTGTGCAGGATGGCTAATAATAGAGATCAAAGTTACAATACCATATCATAGACAAGACCTATTACTTTTTGACTTGTGGCTATGCCATGAGAGGACTCAAAATGTGTGTCTTATTATCTGAACAAGATGGTAAAATTTATTTTCTCAATAGTCGGTTGTAATTTGAGTTATAACCAACTATTTAATATTAATTAACAAATTATAAGGAGGCTGCAACGATTATTGTAGAGTGACAAGGCGGAAATTCCAGTTTGTAGCAAACATCACTGGCAGCAAAAGTGATGACACCCTTTTTAAAAACCAATCAATCAACACTATTAAAGTATCATGATGTATAATGATCTGTCTCATTATAACAACAAAACTATTTCACAAATAAACACAAGAAATAAAATAAATCAAACATAAAAGAGAGAGTAGTACTTTGTTTTCCAGTTACCTACTATTAAATAAATAATAAATTGCAAAACTAAATTGTTCATGTAATAAAAACCACTCACAGAACATGGCCTACTGTTAACATGCTTTTTAGGCTTAAAGTCCTTAAAAGTGTTTTAAAATTATACTTATTTTCCAGTTTTATTTCCTTTACATATTTTCTTTAGTTAAATTTCTTTATAATATTTATTTTAAATAACATTTTTCAATAAAAGTTAGTATGCATTCAAAGTTTGCTCTATCACCCTACATATTTCTTCAAGTATTTGAGATTGTTTGTTGATATATCTGTTTGGCTTGGGATCAACAAATAAACACATTCTTGACTCAATGTATACAGTGATATTCTGGATCTGTTAACTGGCTCCCAAGGATAGCAAGAGCCCTCGTTGAAACTCCGAACATATATGAATAATTTATTCAAATTCAATTGAAAAAATCTGTTGTCTATTTACATAATTTTTACAGTAATAGTAGCCTATTTTAGAGTGCATATTTACCAGTTGCCTGGTTTTTAATTACATCAAAATGAGCTTAAATAGAACCTTATAACTAGTGTGACCATCATGTTTTTGAAGGTCACATGTTACTAATAGTAGTTGTTGAGTAAAATATACCATACAAGATGCTATTGCTTTTATACATGAAATAACAATGTACATATTACCTTATCAACTTATTTGACAAACAAATTTCTCATTATAAGCTATGTTTTGATATGTATCAGTAATTTAAGCATATCATAATTATCATTAAATAATACCACCTGCTGCAGCAAACTGCAGACTGAGCGAATTCCCATTTGTTCCACTAGATTGTTTATAAATATTTCCATAAATAGGCTGTGTAAAATTTAATTCTCATTTAAATAACATTAGGTAGCCTATAACAAGTACTTAGGTTTCCAGCAATACGCAAATTAAACAGTTTACCTCTTCTCTATAAGAAAAAACATGGGGATTTTAAATAAATTTAAATTTTTTTTGGATTTTCTCCGCAACCTATTAATTGGACAAAAACACTTCAGTAGACTAGACAAATTTTTGTTTTACCCCTTGGAGACTGAACCCAATTAAAGGTTTTAGTATAAAATCCATAACAAATCTTTTGCTTGACCTACATACATGCAATTTGTCTTTTTTTACTCAGAAATTAATTTCCTTTCAAATGACATAAGTCCATATAAGATGTATTTATTTTTATCCTAAGTAACGAAAAAAATTTTTTTTTGAAAGCAAGGTTAAAAAAAATTGTATTTTGATGTGCTATAGTTTTATAATTGCCATTCATGTATACCGTATTAATTTTCTACGTGGAAATATAAAATATATTTGTGTATCTGTTATACTTTTTTTAATTAGGTATATTTTTTGTAAATCACGACAAATATGAAAATTAAGTCATTTTTCACTATCTAACCAAAAATTAAAACAAGTCAAGATATATCCTCTTGTGATTACTAGACTGCATAACAATTATAAACAATAAAACTAGTGAAAAGAAAATAATAAAAACAATGGAATCTTACCATAAACGAATTATCTATCGCACTCGATTCAAGTTGGCTAAGGCACACAAATCCAGGATGTCATATACAAATTTCATGTTCATTCACACACAACTTTTCCTAACTAACTTTTTCAATAAACTTAGGCTAAATTTAGCCTAACCTACATAATATTTACACTATTTACAAGTTTGTTGAGGTCCTTTCTAATAACTGGACGTAGTGTGGACGTAGTGGAACTTCTGATCGAAGTTTGTTCTTTTAACCTTATAACAAACTTTACAATTCCTCGTGGGAAATTTAGAAAACAATGAAATAAAAACTGAACAATACACATACAATCACTCATTGTAAACAGTAGTAACGTAGTTACGTATCACAAAACGTAGTAAAACACTTTTGTTGCTCTGTTCAATATTTGAAATTATGTTTTAAAATTGACTTTATTAGGTTAACTTATTGAAAAATAAATTTGAAGTTGTGCTTGTTTCTAATGATATACAGTAAACTCGCAATTATACGACAGGGGTTATCTAAGGTTGTTAAAGGCCTAAATCTATTTTTTTTTTAATTTTCAGGGGGAAAACAATAGTTAGGCCTACTGTATTATTGCATGTTTTTGTTCCAAGAAAACTGAAAAGTAACAATTGTAATTTGGGATTTATTAATCGAAATACTTGAAATAACCATTAATTATTATTTAAACTTAAGAATAGAATAACCTAGAAAATGAAAAATCACACTGTACTAGGTTGGCCACCAGTTGGCCGAGCCATCTACAGAACGTAAACACGTGCCGTGCATTGGCAGCCATGTGGTTACGATTTTTTGATGTACACTGTGACCGTGTTTTCGGTGGGGTGTTCGGAATCTAAATCGATGCCCAAAATAGTTCAGTCTGCGCGGGTTCTTAAACTTCCAGGGGTCGGTCGAGATTTGTTTTTACCTAAACACGGTCGCAAGAGTTTTGTTTGCAGGAGAAGGCTCAGAACTCTGTCCAGACTCGAAACACCAAGGTTTATTCTGTAAGGCTCATCATCACCAACTCCTTTCATTACTACTTCCATAATCCAAAACAAATAAAACGATCTTCTCTCCTTGTTCAATACGTCGTTTATTATGTATAAGGTCAAACATTTTTAGGTGTCTATTTTTGACCGTTACACACTCCTCTGTTTTTGTAAAAAAGACCAGTAAAAAAAAGACGTAGCCTATACTTGCTGCAACTCAACAGAAATCCTAATCTTACGGAAAGTTCCCTCTCCATGGGCAAACGTAACCTTTTATATTTTTCATTTTTTTTTGTATTTTATTATTTTGTTTTGTTTTTTTTTCCGCTGGTGGCATAGGTTAGCTTTCCAAGCCTTCCGTGAAAATTTCCAACCGCATTGTAATTGTCTTCTTCGGCCCTCCAAATAAATTTTCTTCTTTAACAGTCAAAATAAATAAACAGACCCCCTGGGGTATAAAATCAAACAAAACTTCCTTCTTCTATTCGAGTTCATCTCGCCCGTCTCGGTGATCAGCCAAATGGCTTTAACACAGGTAGGCCCAGCCTCTTCATGTTGACTCGTTTCCTCGACCCATTGTCAACCGTCACCCACATCTTCCTCCTTTTCATCCTTGGCTTCTGGCCAGCCGAGCGGTTTACACGAACTGTCGCCGGGTCCCTTGGAGGATACCCCCGCTTCGGTCGTGAGTCATCCATGCCGGCGCAGCTGGGGTCTGGCCTCCCTAGACAACTTCGCACATCCGGGATAAACAGTTTTCCTTCCGAGCCCCTCGTTTCTCCCTGGCTTCCTAGATCCATAGCCTCCGGGTGCTCTTTTACCGGTGCTTCATTTGGTAGCAGCTCTTGGGTCTCTGATCGTTCTCGGGGCGTCTTCACCCGATCACTAGAGGCGTAAAGGATGGCTTCTAACAAGTCAGCCTCCGCGTCAATGGACAAGGCTGGGGAGGTTGGTCTTCCGTCTCCGGAGCATGAGGGTTTATCTACGACAACGAAGTCATGTTCCGCTTCCATCGAACCACAGACTTCGTACATATCTACGACGTCCTTGAACGGGTCTTCTTCGTCTCCGTCAGGGTCGATTCCGAGGTTTTCAATCTCTTCGACCTCCATTACTTCCAGCTCTTCTACGGTGGAGAACCCTTTGACCAGATGCATCTTTTGCAAATCCTCCAACATCATCGTCATCTGCTGCTGCAGACCTCTCTGAAGCTCCCCTTCGGTGTAAGACGCAGGTGGTCCTGTGAAAAGGTCTTCGGCGGGTTTCGCTCGCTCGGCACCAGCGGTCTGCACTCTATCCCTCCTCAGTACAGTGGATACCCATTTTCTAAGCTCCTTGCTGGATGGGGCCTTCACGGTTGTGGGATCTACTCTCGTGACGATACAATTTGCGTAATAGCAGAGGAAAAACCCACAGTCAATGGTGTTCGACTGCAGCACTAAACCGCCCGGATTCCCTTTCAGGGTCCACTCTCTGCGGTAAATTTTATGGCCGATCCGGCAGGTCTCCCATTCGATGTAATTGACGCATTGCCGAAGTCGTGAGGGATATTCCTGTCCCAGAGTCAAAGCTCCTGATTAATTTCTCCCTCATGAAAGCGGCCACCAGATACAAATGGCCTCTTCCCGCGGACTTCCCATCCGACTTCTTTGGGGCCCATGTATGGGAAACAGTAGGACATCATAGGACAAAATAATGATCTTCTTGTTCCACCTGGCGACTCGCGAAAATCCCCCTTCGTCGACGGCCTTGGAAAATACCGTCGGAAAATAGTGGAAACTAACGGCCCCAGTAGTTCTCCCAGCCTTGTTCTGCAGGGCACGGGGGAAATCTTCGATGGCCACTACACGGACTTCTCGGGGAGATTTCCGGGCGTTTCGTCACTTCTCCTTCCATCCTAATTACTTTCTACTTCTACGTTGGCTACTCTACTCTTCTAGCACAGATAAAGCTGCAAGCAAGCATGCAAAATTAGGCAAGCAGTGCAATAAGCTACGTACTACTTAAGCATGCGAAATGGAATTACAATTTACGATCCCACCTACATGCTATCCTTACTTAATTACGGGGGATCAATGATGTATCGGTTTCCCATTGCCGTCGTAATCCATCGCCGGTTCTTCAGCGTGGGGCAAAGGAAAAGGGGCAACACGTGGTCAAACATGTTGAAAAGGAGAATTCGATATTTTTGGGCGCCAGCCAAAAGGCAAAAATGGTCATATGTTCTCAACAGTTAACAATGTAGGGTCCCTGTTCGGGCGCCAAAATGTGACCGTGTTTTCGGTGGGGTGTTCGGAATCTAAATTGATGCCCAAAATAGTTCAGTCTGCGCGGGTTCTTAAATTTCCAGGGGTCGGTCGAGATTTGTTTTTACCTAAACACGGTCCCAAGAGTTTTGTTTGCAGGAGAAGGCTCAGAACTCTGTCCAGACTCGAAACACCAAGGTTTATTCTGTAAGGCTCATTATCACCAACTCCTTTCATTACTACTTCCATAATCCAAAACAAATAAAACGATCTTCTCTCCTTGTTCAATACGTCGTTTATTATGTATAAGGTCAAAAATTTTTAGGTGTCTATTTTTGACCGTTACAAGACATGATTTGGTCAAGCTTTAGTTTAGGTCAAACTCAACAAAATGTAATTTTATGCCTTTTAAACTAGGAAGATCCACCTTATTGTTCTGTTTAAAATATTATAGTGTATTGGTTTAACATAATTCTCTGTGTTTGAAGTTTTTCAAGACGACCGAAGAATGTTGAGCATGTTTGTATCTTTGTTTTCTTTAATAACACTACCTTAATTAAAAAAAGATTTGGGCCTACATGAAAATCTTATTTGATCACTTTTTATTTGCCAAGTATTGTTAAAACATTAGCCTAATTGTACAAGTATTTGACTTCCTAATTTAATACAATAACCCCTAACTTCAAAATATATGCGACCTCTTCGTTATCCAAGATTCTCCGTAAACGAGATAGTCTCGGTCCCAACAACCTCAGTGTACTGTGATTATTAATTAAAATTCTGTCTTATGCAAGAATCATACAGCACTTGGGAAAGATTAGGGTTAAGATGCTACCTTAAGTAAACAAAATTCTGAGTGATTTTTTTTTCACAGAGAATAATTCTCTTTTTGTGCAAAAAAATCACTGTTGTTGGAAAAATTAACAATAGTTTTATGTACCTACTTGAGTAGCTGTCTACTTCAAGATAGAGTGCTCTTCTCCCTCTATGTCTCTTTCTCTCTCTCCCTCTCTTTTTCTGCTGTGTTTATTTATAGTGTATAGCACTCATGATTGGCCACAAATAGAACAGGGCATATGGGCAGGTTTTAAGACCCACACTTTAGATAAGGTTTAATTATATAGTTTATGGGGAATGATATACATATAAGGATATTTTTAACTGCTTAGTACTTTAGCTTAAACCTTGTAAAACAAAATTTACATTATCCCTCTAAATCATAAGAAATTACATTCTACAAGGTAAATGTTTAAAGTATGGTCAAGTTTATTAATCTTTCAAATGAGAGATTACTGAGACTGCAACTAGTTTTAATTGAGCACTATCTAATTTGATTTATTTTTTAAAATTAAAATACTCATTATTACAATGCCAGAGTTGTTTTTCCTGCACATAAATGAATGACAATAATTAGAGTAAGATATGCCATTGAAGATTTAAATAATTAAAAACTGTTACAAAACTTTTGATACTATGCAGGGTTTATTCTAATAAGTGATACTCTTGCAGAAATCATCAACGTCTTCTGCAATCACGCGAACAACGTCATATTTTTCCGCCACTACAGCAAAATCTTGAAAATCTTCCTCAGTTTTGTAGACATCATCATTGTCAGGAGTGATAGACACCAGCCCGCGGTCATGGAAAATCGTCTTTCGCAAACACTGCGAAAGCTTGAATTTTTCTTTTGCAAAATATTTGCAGACACGTTTTGCAATCGCAATAGTAAAAGCTCGGTTCAACTCTGCCTATTATCTGTAAAACACCACCAATTCCGGTAAAAATCCAACTATCCGAATTTTCGATTATCTGAATGTGTCTCAACTGATTGGAGTTCTACTGTAGTAGTGACCAGCAAATATTTTTTTCCTTCTGCTGAGAGTATAAAATTGTTCAGAAGATATTTGGTGTTCAGTTAACCTGTTTTCATATGCAGACAGTACATTATTTCTGTTAGAAATTCAGCTAAAACAGGATTCAGTAAATTTAGTATAGCCTATTTTAGATTGTTTTTTTAATTGTGGGTTCCGTCAGCTATCACGAGTATTTTATATCAATTCCAAGACCTGTTCTTAAATAATTCGTACATTTTAATCCTGCATGCCAAATGCAATATACATTTATGTCATATTTTAAATCTGACAGCTTAGTATTTTTCTCGCTATGTATTTAAGGCTCTATTTCTTTTTTAGGTTCTCCTAGTAATAATTCTCATTGTAACTATCATCATAAATGTTGTGTTCATTTTGGATACCAGCCAGAGACTTCAAGGGGAAACTTTTCATTCAGGTAATTATAATTTAACAAAAATATTACAAAATAAAAAAGTGATAAGCTAGTGTAGCCAATTACTTGGGCATAAAGTGATTCTCTTTACACAACCTTTATTTTAACTACCAAGGACGCCAAGTTCGGAAAATGAGCAAAAGTAAAAACTATAGCTTTGGTCTGTGTGATACACCACAATTTTCATCTTCATTCTGCACCATTCTTTAAGATGAATAATTCTCAATTTGTACAATTCTTACACTGTTTACCCTTGTAAGGTAGCTCCCAAAATAGTTTCTGTCTTGTTTTCCTAATCATTACTACTTACTAAATCATCTGCTGTTACTGTTGTAATACTCCGTCAAGACTATCATAATCTCAAAGTCAAATTTCTGAAATTTTCTTACTTTGCAAGTTTACTAAATGTTGACAGTAAGCACACTATAGGTCAGCCGGTTAGAAAGCGTCCTCCTCGTGGCATTGGCGCGAGAGAGAGATACCGAGCTGTGGGAGTGAGACAGACTATGGCTCTTCCCCCACTCCGATGCCGCCCCACCTCCAACCTTCCCGAACACAGCCAATCAAATTAAATTATACAGCTGATCAAAATGTAAGCAATTACGTTCTTCATAACTTGAGAAAAATAGGTCCTGCAAAAAATATTGTATAGCCTAAATCGCATCAATATTTGAGCATCATGAAATGTTATTATATCATTGTGTAAGCAGTTCCATTTGGTAACACAGGATTCCAACTCCCACAGCAGTGTGCAGTGTGAAAACGGCCATTGGTGGAGAGGGGGAACATACCCTCCCTCGCCGTTACCTCCCCTACATGCGCTAAAAATTTCGCGCATGTCGTTTTCTAACCAGCGGACCTATACAAATCAAAAGCATCATTGAGATTCGCTGGATTTTTTTTCAATCTTGAAAACCACTTAATCACTGCAATGCATCTATTAAAACAAAACAACCATTTTAGTATATAGGCCTACAGTAACAGAAATATGTTTGAATGTGTATATTTTGGTTGTAACTGTTATTGTAGGGTCAGATGAGGATATGGACTCCAGAGATGTACCAGGACCTGAGTTGTCTCAAGCTCAGCTAGATGAGACGGCCCCCAAGATGCTCACCATAGAAGTGCTGTCAAGCCAGTCAAGAGTGGCAGTTTCTGTTGATAGTGCTATGGTAAGTAGGCATATAGTGGAACCTTGGTGAAAAGACCCTCAATAACAAGTTATTCTTAATAACAAGTATCATTTTCAAATTTCCTTGCCAATTCAAATTTCCAAATACAATTCAACAAAAACAATTGTTCCTCCAGATTTTAGAAGATGCAGAGAAGACGGAAGGTAGAGGCATTCATGTTCTTGTTCTAAACCAAGCAACCGGCAGTGTGATGGCACAGAGAATTTTTGACACCTACTCCCCTCATGAAGATGAAGCTATGGCACTCTTCCTCAATATGGTGTCTGATGGCAGAATCATCATCTTTGCAATCAAGGTTAATTTTTAATCTCACACTATTGTAATTTTTTTTAAACCATAGTAAATCTTGAAAATGTATATTAGTTGGGACGAAACTGGTATTAATTAAAATACTTCCGCCCCAGCAAACCTGCAGACTAAGGGAATTAGAATTTGTCTGATTGGATTTTTACAAAAATATTTTCATAAACAAGTCATATTTATTCCTTATTTAAATAACAGTAGATTTAACAAGTACATAGGTTTGCTGCTATGGGGAAGGAAAAAATTTTTTTCGGTTAGCGAATTCAATCTCAGTCTATCCAGGAAATACATAAAATCCTTTTGAATAGCTTCGTTGATGAGTTATCAACCGGGCCACGCTTTTACGATTTAGTAAATAATTAATAAAATTAAACTGTTACACGCACAAGGCCTGATGTGACCCAAGGCAGCTGAGTTGGAAATGCTGAGTTTTAGTGAATTGGTTTAAACTTTCAAAAATGGTCTCAGAGATTAAAATATTACAATTTCATAATTTGTTAAATAAGCTACAGATGAGAAATTTTGAACTTAAAACAAAAACTGAGCACAGAAAAAACATAACAGGTTACATAGCCCACCCACAGTTTTAATTTTTAAGTAAATTGCGTCCACAGAGGATAGTTAGTATAAACAGAAATTAAATTAAGTAAACTTAACAGCCTTAAAATATAACTTTCCTACTTTGTTTCCAATTAAAATTCAAACAATATAAAAAATAGAGTAGGGCCTACGATTATAAAAAATACCCCCGCCGCAGCAAACCTGCCGACTAAGCGAATTTCCATTTGTCTGAATTGATTTTCAGTTAAATATATTTTAATAACATTAGGTTTAACGAGTACCTAGGTTTGCTGCTACAAGGAAACTAATAAAGTGTGTTTTTGAGTAAAATATTGATAGCTTAGTAGAAAATAAATAAATTTGCCAAGTTTGATCAAAATATATTCATAAACAAGCAAACTACAACATTTGACAATATTCTCCATAAGAATAACATGGGAATTTTAAATTTACAATTTTTTTAATTTTCTCCGTTACTTATAATCGAACAAAAATACTTTCATATACTAAATTATTTGTTTTTTTAAGCTCTTTAAAAAGGTCTAAAGAGAAATTAGGAAATTTTGTGTTTTGAGGGTCAAAAGTGAGAAAAACCAATTTTTACCCCATAAAACCCCCCGTAAAGCCCTGTTCCCATGGTCCGATCATGCTGGTTCGCGAACTCATTCAAGTTTATCCCGCTTTACACCTTTAAACCAAATTTCATCAAAATCGGACAAAAATTACTCAAGTTATCGCGTTCACGGACGTATATATATATATATATATATATATGTCTATATATATATATATATATACATATATAAAAATTTGAACGAATAGTGTTTTTGGCCTCTGGGGACATCAAAATGAAAAAGTAAATCGGTCCCGGGTCTAGGTCTTACCGTGCCACCTACGGTAATAGCTACTTCCCTATAGGGAAATTCGCTAAAAGAACCTTTACTATACTTTTTTGGTAAGTAACATTGGTTATCGATGTTTGTTTTTCAACTCCTTCACTGGTTAAACATTGACCTTGAGCGGCAATACATAATAAATTTTAATAATATCCAACGCTGTCACAATTTTATGGGATTTTGGTGCATCATTTTAAAATTGAATTCTCTATCACATGCAGCTGAGTTACCCAAACTACCGAATTGTTGATGGCTGAGTTTTTGAGACTACTTTAAGCAAAATAATAGGCCTTTGCAAAACTATCAAGTTGTGAGCCTTTTAACCTGATTTCACAGGATGAAGGAACATTCCAAATGAAGCAGCCTGCTAGAGAACTTCTGCACAGGCTGGGGTCTCGACGCGCTCAGCTTATCTCTTGGCGAGACATGTGGGCGATGGTGGCGCAGAAGGGTGTCCGAATGTACGGGGAGTCCTTCAGCAAGAGTACGGACTTCAACACTTGGGGTGCTTCTGTGTTGCTGAGGGTCCAAGTTCCTTTGGTGTCTGTTGAAGGTTTGTTTCTCATCTGATTACCTCATTCCTCTAGAAACCTCATTAACCTACATTATAGTATCCATACAATTCACAATGGTATTATTTCAAAATTCAAGGTTACAATACAAGGTTTACTAAGTAATAATAAAAATATTAGATAATTATGTGGCTGAAAAACTTTAATATATGAAAGGTACTGGGCACAACATATTGTCTGTAAATTTGTATTTAGGAACATCAACATAATCACTCATTCAGGATCTAATCTGTTTAAATCTGATACTGCAATTATTTTCATAGAAATGCAACAAAAGAAAAGTCAACAGGAGCATTTGAAAGTAGTGGATAGATTATGTTACCTACAACAAAAAGTTGTACAGGGGTACCTACTTTAGCTCAATGTATGAATAATTTGTCAGTAGGATAAACTGTTTGAATTAACTTGTAAAATTGAAACATCTTTAGCCTCTGGATCACGTACCAGGTTTTGAACCTAAAGGTTTATTTTCAAGCTGTCCCCAGTTGAAACTTAAAACATACTCGAAATCCTCTTCTTAACTGGGAAGAGTCGTTAAATAAACAAAACACGAACACGAAAACATTTTTTTAAAATTGGCCAAATACAATACTGACTCGGTACGGTAGCGTGCGTGGTTTAGCCGGCAAAAGATGAGTCATGACTCTACGCCACGCATGCTACCGTATCAGTATTATATTTGACCAATTTTTGTTTAATGTTTTCGTGTTTGTGTTTTGTGTATTTAACGTCTTCCCAGTTATGAAGAGGATTTAGAGTATGTTTTAAATGGTGACAGCTTGAAAATGAACCTTTAGGTTTGAAAGGCTCAATTTATGTCACAGATGCTTACATGTTTCGGCTTGTATCTGCCATTGTCAAAAAACTGCAGTTGGATGAAGAAATCCTTGTCATTGTTTACTAATATACATAAACATACACACACGAACGGGACAAAGACATTTACAAAACGAATAAAAACTATGAATAGGCCTATAACAATAAATTCATGGGCATACAGGAATAAATTATGTCCTTAGTGGGAGATATTTTTTCATAGTTGAATTTTAAAAGATTTTACAGAAAATTGGTATAGTATATGTTAAATATGTTCAAATATTAATATTATGTATCATTTACAGAACTAAACAATATTGTAAATATTTTTGTGCAGAGTTGTGAAATAATGTAATGTGTCATTTTATTTCACATTAAATCTTACGACTCCTACTGGTGTCTACTACCTGCGCCGGAACCGTCCGCGTCGTGTGATAGGCCTATCTAAATGTTTCGTTTCGTGTTATTTATTTATTGTGTGCGTGTGACAGCAATGTCTTTCTGTGTTTGTACCCTGACGATGCCGTATTAACGGTGAAACATGTAGTAGGTTTTTAACCTAACATCAAATCATTTGGATTACTTGACGAGGTAATTATACCACAATATTATAGTCAACCATTTTGTTACGAGACAGGATGTTTATTTATAGCCTCTCACTGTAGGGTCGAGTCACAAAAAATATTTTGACCTTGAAGTTGTTAACCCCCCTCCCCTGCCCTTCCTACAAGTTGCATTGTTTTGTTTGTTTACTCTAGCGATAACATAACTCTAGGTTATATTACAAAAATAGCAGCTGTTTTCTGAAACATAAATCTTTGGAATGAATACAAAATAACTTAAGATATTCTTAGACAAGTCCACATCCTGTGGAGATAAGCGTATGTGTTCCGTATTCAAGCATCTACGCAACCTAGGTGAATCCAGACTTCATTCATATTTTGTTCTGACCCTTGCCCTGTCACGTGATGTCTGGCAATTCCCCCCATTCCTCATGTACTCTTCAACCCGGCATCATGTTCTCGCCATTTTCCCTAGTTTTTTTATTATAATATTCCCCTACTCTATTTGTGGCATATAAATTGAACTTATATATTATCGTATGTTTATCTTATGTATTTATTTGTGACACACCTAACAAAAAAGTGAACTGAATAGTTAAAAACTGTATTCAAACTGTTCTTGGTGCAACTACCGGTCGCGTACGCGAAAGCTGGCCAGCAAACATCAAGTGCGTCAACGGTCTACTAGACATCACTTCAGTAAAAAGGAAGGTACCAAATCACATTTCTTCCTATTTAAAAGTTTATTATTTTGTGCTCACAGTGTGTCTCTAAAGCTGATCTTAACATAATATATCTCACATCCCTCATTTTTTATACAGTCCACCATATCGAAGTTTACCCCCCATTCGCTGGTCCTGTCGAGCCGGACTACATTTGCCAATTAAAATATAATTGATACAGTACAATAATTTATTTCTCAAATGAATGTTTATGATCAGTGTCACATCCCTAACTGGTAATATTTTGTCTTGTGAAACATTATTACGAACAATTTTAATGTCCATTCCTGTTTCATACCAGACAATTATTATTTTCATGTTCAATTTTGTCACTGCCACCTAAATCACGTCAAGTTAGGCCTACCTAGTTTGTCTTGAAATAAATCAAGCGTAGAACATTTTTAGGATTGAATATTTATTCACATCTCATCCATAAAATCCTTTTAAATAATAAGGTCTCACAATCAATTCAGTCTTATTATTTGGGTTTATAAATAAAATTGCAAAGTTAGTTAGTAGTTATTTCCCTGAAATATTCTATCCCATTGTCCGCCATTTTGCAACAACGTTCTGTCCTTTGCGATACACCTTGGTAGTTGGTAGTTCTCAACTTCGCCAACAGATCGCTCTGCGCTACATGGCAACCAATAACCTACAAGATTAGTGAAACGGTGGAACTGAGGACGAACCAATCACCTGTCTGCTATTAAACTGAAAACTCAACTCATCAAAACCCTGTTCATCTACATCAGCTGTTTGTTTAAATATAACCCGATATTGAATTGAAACATATCAACATAGCCTGCAAGTTTGTTTATGTTGTTGAAAAATGAAGACATTATTTATTTAATCAAATACTAATTGAAAAGGGTCCTGAACTGGGGAAAACTGGTAATTATTGTTATTGCTATGCTCTCTTTATTCATTATTGTAAATATTATTGTCAACAGAGATTATTGGTGATAATAACAAATTGATAATTGACTTTACTTTACTATTGAAGTTGAATTGCAAATTGATTTATGCACTTCAGTAGGCCTAGATTTATGAGATCATTATTAATTTAAGATTTTGGGCTATTTTATGAAAACTCATCTATTCTTGTTGTGTGTTATTTAATTTGTTTGTTCATGATGAGATTCACTACCCTACAAAGAAAAGCAAAACTTGTTAAAAACAGGTTTCAGAAAATAAATAAATATTTGTCAAACCAACTTCCTCGAACTGAAGGTCAAGAATTGACTCCTGCTAATATACAGCGTTTACACAATTATAATGAGGAGGTCAGAGATCTATTTACTGACTTTAAAACTTTATTTAATAGAGTTGTGACTGATGACCCTGCTTCTGATTGTGATGAGGAGGAATCATTTTCAATGCATGATGAACTTTCTGACTTGTATGTAGCCCTTATAAGTGACATTAAAGTTCTTTTGCCAGTTGAACCTGTTGTAACACCTACTCCACCTCCAGCTTCTCTGCGCCTGCCTAAATTTGAGTTGCCTAAATTTAGTGGTAACTATGAAGAGTGGGTTAGTTTCTATAATATTTTTGAAGCCTCTGTCAATGCGAATAATTCTGTCTCCCCAGTGAATAAGTTTCAGTATTTGCTTAGTGCCCTGAGTGGTGAGCCCTTAGACTTGGTTAAGAGTCTTAATATTACTCCTGAAAACTATGTGGTAGCCCTTCGACTTCTCAAGGATCGCTATGAAAACAAGAGACGTATTGTCACTCAGCTCGTTACAAAAATTCTGGATTTGTCGCCCATTACTAGTGGTTCGCTTAAGAGCTTGCAATCATTTCTCACTGTATATAAGGAAAATACTCAAGCTTTGAAAAACTTAAATCATGACATTACAACTGAAAACACCCTGTTAGTCTTAACACTTTTAAAGAAGATCCCAGCTGATATTAGAAAATCTTTTGAAGACTCTCGCGCCTTAAACAACGAGATCCCTCTTGTTAATGATTTAATGACCTTTCTTGAAATGGAATTCAAACGTTTAGAAGGTGCTAGTATTTGTCTCAGTTCACCATCTACCTCAAAGTATTCCACTGGCCTAAAGTGTCCTACAAACATAACTAGGCCTAATAAGTTTACGCGTGAAAGTAAGCCACATTTCACCAACCATACAAAAACTGCTCTTGTCGCCACAACCAACTCTTGTAGATTTTGTCAAGCTGCAGATCACAACATATACAAGTGTCAAGCTTTCCTAGCTAGAAGTGTGAGTGAAAGATCTGAGTTTATTCGCAAGAATAGGATTTGTACAAACTGCCTCGGTTATCTTCATAACACACTCAACTGCCCCTCAAGTAAAGTGTGTCAGATTTGTTCCAAACATCACCATACTCTATTGCATGAGCCCACACGTAGTTCACTTCAGTCACAGTCAAGCTATCAAACTAAGCTGTCTCCTCAAAATAAGACCTACACACCTAATTCATCTTCAAAGAATACAACAACTATTAATCCTACTGCTTCTACAAACGTTAACGCTTTTGTAGGATTGTCTAGTCAACTCAATCCAACTAAAACCACAATCCTTCTTGGTACATGTTTAGTTCATGTCTCTTCACAACATGGTCAACATACTGTACTCCGTGCTGTGCTCGACTCCGCTGCCCAACTTACCCTTATATCAGAGAAAGCTATTCAACTCATCAACGCCCCACGTACTCGACTCCATGATGAAATAAAAGGAATCTCTGGTGCAGTTATTAATTCTAGAGGTATCGTACATGTCAACATGTCTGCGATCAATGGAAATCCTTTGGCTAAAAACCATCCTTGTATGGTTTTGAGTAGTATCACATCACCCCTGCCTCAGATACCAGTTTCACACCAGGTTAAGGAATCTTTGAAACATTTTATCCTAGCCGATCCCTGTTTCGATCAGCCTGGAGAGATAGATTTACTTATCGGTGCAGACTTATTTGCCCTAACCCTCACAGGCGAACAGCATAGATTAGGACAAAATTTACCTCAAGCTCTTGGAACCATTTTTGGTTTTGTTGTGATGGGCCTCGCTCCTGTAGCCTCTGTAGCAGGAAACTCATCAAACACATTTCCCATCTCACTCTTGACAACTCATGATTTGGATCTTCATAATTCACTTCAAAAATTCTGGACGCTAGAAGAACCCCCAATACGGATCAAGGCTCAGACTGAGGAAGATACCCTCTGTTTACAACATTTTGAAAACACCCATAGACGTGATGACTCAGGTCGTTACATAATCGAGCTGCCCAAGAAACCAAATCATTCCCCTCTTGGTGAATCTTGTACCAAAGCACAATTGAGACTTAGCTCGATGGAAAGGAAATTCTCTAATCAACCCGAGTTACAAAGGCTCTATTCTGAATTTATGGATGACTACATTGAATCAGGTCATATGACTATTTGTAAAGAACCTCCTACCTCTGAATACTATTATTTGCCTCACCACGGTGTCTTCAAGGAGAATCCCCCGAATTCAAAAATACGTGTTGTTTTTGACGGCAGCGCTAAAACTACTAATGGCATATCATTGAACGACATTCTCATGCCTGGTCCCAAACTTCAAAATGATATCAGTGATGTTTTATTGTATTTTAGATGTCATAAAATTGTATTCACCTGTGACATACGTCAAATGTATCGTCAGATCTTGGTTTCTGATAAGGACAAAAGTTATCAAATGATATACTGGCGCGCTAGTCCAGATGATCCACTCCAAACGTACAAACTCAATACAGTTACATATGGGCTTAATTGTTCCCCTTTTATTGCAATCAAAACCTTGCACCAGCTAGTTTTGGACGAAGGTCAACCATACCCAAAAGCTTCTGATATCTTGACCAAGTCTATCTTCTATGATGATATTATAGCTGGAGCTGAAGATCTTGATAAAGCTATGTCAGCTCAAAATGAACTGAAAACATTGCTGTCTAAAGGCGGTTTTGAACTCCGTAAGTGGATCAGTAATGCACCCCAACTCTTGGATCAGATTCCAGTCGAACACAAAGAATCACCAGTGGAGTTGACTGATGGTAGTGAGGCCTTCTACAGTGTATTGGGTTTAAGATGGACCCCAGAGACAGACATGCTCTCATACAAAGTAAAGAATGTTGAAGTAGGCCACTTGCTAACCAAGAGAATGATTCTCTCAACAATCGCTAAACTCTATGATCTCCCAGGATTTCTCACACCTGTAATATTTTGGGCTAAAACACTCATTCAATATCTTTGGACCACAGGTCTAAAATGGGATGATCCAATTCAAGATGAGATAAGAACAAAATGGATTTCCTTTTTAGAAGAACTACCCGTGATCCAAAACCTAAGGATCCCACGCTACATCTTTACCTCAACTCATAAGCTTGCAGAACTTCATGGTTTCAGCGATGCTTCGGAGAAAGGATATGCTGCAGTAGTCTACCTCCGTGTGATCAACTTATCGAATGATGTTAAAATTAATCTGATAATGGCCAAATCTAAAGTCGCCCCACTAAAAAGAGTATCTCTGCCTCGTCTCGAACTGTGCGGTGCTCACCTACTTGGAAAGCTCCTGCAATACTGTTCAAATCTTCTTTCGTCCCACATTAAGATTGACTCGATGTATGCATGGTGTGACTCTACCATTGTTCTTACATGGATACGCACTCACCCCTATCGCTTAAAAGTCTATGTGGCCAACCGTGTCTCAGAACTACAAGAATTAATCTCTCCTGAATCATGGCATTACGTCAAGTCCCTCGACAACCCAGCAGATTGTGCAACCCGAGGACTCTCCCCATCTCAACTCTTAAGCCACCAATTGTGGTGGAAGGGACCTGAATGGTTATACTTGTCATCAGATCTTTGGCCAAAGCCCGAATTCAGTTTAATCACTGATCAAGACACTCTTGAAGTCAAACCAAATCCCTTGAATGTCCTAGTTAACGTTGAAAAGTTAGAAAATTACAGATTTGATTTACTTGAAAAATTCTCATGCTTTAGAAAACTTGTAAATGTCACTGCTTATGTTCTACGATTCATCCATAATATTTGTGGGAACGCCCGACTAGCTGGACAACTTAGTTATAAAGAGATCTCTTCTGCTAAAATGAATCTCTTCAAACTCATTCAAATTTCATCTTTCAAGGATGACATCACAGCTCTGAAAAAGGGCACTCAGTGCAGCTTAAGACTGGCTCGGTTATCACCTTACATTGACGATAACGGTTTGGTAAGAGTAGGCGGTAGGTTGAAACATTCAAACCTTACTCAAGATGCCAAATACCCAATCCTGTTACCTAAATCTCATAATGTTGTAAAACTGTTGGTCATGCACTATCATCTCAAATATTTACACGCAGGCCCTCAGTTGCTGCAATCGATCCTCACTCAAGAAGTATGGATATTATCTGCTCGTAGTGTAATCAGATCTGTAATCTTTAAATGTCAAAGATGTTTTAAGTTGAAACCTACAAATCAACCTCCACTTATGGGAGACTTACCCGAAACTCGACTACGGCCTGTAAGACCATTCTATCATACTGGCATGGATTATAGCGGTCACTTTGAAGTGAAAGTACACACCACTAGGAATTCTCAAAAGCTTAAGTCATACCTCTGCCTATTTGTTTGCTTTACCACAAAAGCGGTCCACTTGGAAGTTGTAACTGATCTCTCAGTGGACTCATTCATTGCTGCTCTTAAAAGATTTGTTTCTTGTCGTGGACTTTGTGCTCACCTATACTCTGATTGTGGAACGAACTATGTCGGTGCCTCCAAGCAACTGAATAAGACCTTCCAGAATTTCATTGATGAAAGGAATACTCAAGATGCTCTCACTAACTTCGCCCTCGATCATTCAATTAATTTTCATTTCCAACCACCAGCCGCGCCTCACCAAGGAGGCCTTTGGGAGAGTGCCATAAAGAGCTCAAAGTACCATCTCAAGAGAGTAATTGGAGATCAAATTCTAACACTAATGGAGCTGATAACCCTTGTCACGCAGGTGGAAGCAGTATTGAACTCTCGTCCACTAACAGCTCTATCAGCAGATCCATCTGACATCACAGCACTCACCCCAGGTCATTTTCTCATCGGGACATCTCTTGTCGCAGTACCTGAGGTAAATGTATCCGATATTCCTGACAATCGACTAAAGCATTGGCAAACAGTTCAGGCTCTACATCAGCGCTTCTGGAGAAGGTGGCACCAAGAGTATTTGCACCAGCTTCAACAAAGGAAAAAGTGGATAAAGCCAAACAAGAATCTTGAAGTAGGCGATTTAGTCATTATCCATGACCCAAAAACACCACCACTTCTCTGGCCTCTTGGTCGCATTGTGAAGACATCACCTGGAGCAGATGGCATCGTTCGAGTTGTCTCCATCAAGACTTCGAGAGGAATCTTCTGTCGCCCTGCTACCAAGGTGTACCCGCTCCCCTAATCACAAAATATTTCTATTTAATGTCCTATTTCATGTTTATATTTATAATTATCATATTTATCATATCTTATAATTAGGTGTGTCATCATTATCTATTGTGTATATATATCTACATTGTATTACTTGTGCCCATTTATGAGTCAATGAATCAATTTATGAATCTGTTGAACCATGTATGGTTCAAGGCGGGCGGCATGTTCCGTATTCAAGCATCTACGCAACCTAGGTGAATCCAGACTTCATTCATATTTTGTTCTGACCCTTGCCCTGTCACGTGATGTCTGGCAATTCCCCCCATTCCTCATGTACTCTTCAACCCGGCATCATGTTCTCGCCATTTTCCCTAGTTTTTTTATTATAATATTCCCCTACTCTATTTGTGGCATATAAATTGAACTTATATATTATCGTATGTTTATCTTATGTATTTATTTGTGACACACCTAACAAAAAAGTGAACTGAATAGTTAAAAACTGTATTCAAACTGTTCTTGGTGCAACTACCGGTCGCGTACGCGAAAGCTGGCCAGCAAACATCAAGTGCGTCAACGGTCTACTAGACATCACTTCAGTAAAAAGGAAGGTACCAAATCACATTTCTTCCTATTTAAAAGTTTATTATTTTGTGCTCACAGTGTGTCTCTAAAGCTGATCTTAACATAATATATCTCACATCCCTCATTTTTTATACAGTCCACCATATCGAAGTTTACCCCCCAGTATGGTTCCCATTGCCGACTGTGGGAGCGGAAATGCTGAGATTCCTAGATAGCAGCGGTTAAACCGAACTGCTGTCAAAGCAAGGTCAGTTAAAACAAACCGTAATATTTTAATATCAAGGGCGGATAGTCCGATTATCGGTTAATGCGGTTAGGAGAGGGTCTACTGTATTTCGATTTTATTTGAGTAAATAATTGTTATTTGGTCATGCTATTCTTCCAGAGAGTGAATGTGAATGGGAGCAAACCGAGGAAAACATTCGTAGGCAAGAGTTCTGCAATCACATTGAGGGCTACGGCAGCGTTTGTAGCTGCGCAGAGCCCGCGTTGCTCACCTTTGACCCTCCTCCCGTAAGTATAACATCCATCATAAACATAGTATGGTGGCTTTTATAGACTTAGCAAGGGCATGCTTAGTGGCTTAGTGCTAGTAGGTTACAGACGGGTTTTATTTACCTAAAGGATGAGTTAAAAATAAAATACTTCATAAGCGGCTTAAAGATACATCCTCAACCGATGTGAGATAACAGTCTAGAACGAATAGCTGTTTTTACTCATCTACCTGAACTTTTCCATCAATACACACAATGTACTTGTCCAAGTCCCTAATCACATAGCGGGTTTTTTTAATTCAATAGAATTTTGATTATTATATTTTTCACAGTTCACCTTTTTGTTAGGTGTGTCACTAATAATTTGAAATCTATGAGGCTCATCAGACCCGATTTAATAAAACGAGAGAAATTCAAAGGTTTAATTCTGGATTTAGTGGTATGTTATATTAATGATACTTACTTTCTCATTTAACTAAAGAACAATATTAATAAGTCGCTAGATCGGGAATTTTTAAAATTTTACTAGAATAATAGATGTCAAGAGTCAAGACACAATTTGTGAGCATAATTTAGTCAACATCCATAATCCTAAGTTATAAGTTAGGATACTACTTATAACTTATAAGTAGTTATAATTTATAAGTAGTGATGTGTCGATCGATAACAAAATTGATAAATTCTTAATACCAATACGCAAAATATCAATTCTAAATTCTCGATAGGTACCGATACCATTTTCTTTAAATTTACCTAATTTTCTCTATGGATTGGTTATACTACACCAACCCCTGTTTTTATTTCCTTCCTCCAAAAAGTAACTTTGGGGTATTGGGGTGTTTAAAGTACAGTAGGGCTTTAAAGGAAAAAAATACTGCAGCAATGAAAAATTATTATATGAAATGAAATGAAATGAAATGAAATGAAATGAAATGAAAAATCATTTATTTATACAGGCAAAGTTAGGGCCACATGGCCCTTTCTTACACTTAACCTGTACTTTAAAACATAATATAAATATTTTAACATAATCAGCTTATACAATAAAACAAAACAGAAATCTACAGAAACTCAGATACAGAAACTTTTATCAAAAATCAGTAAATTTTAAAAATACTTACACACACACACTCACTCACACATACATACAAGTCAGCGACCGCCATGCGCACAGGCCCCTACGACAAACCTACAAACCTTATAAGTAGCCTAATTAAGTTTAACCTCTTCTGAACTGATTTAATAAATACCTTCAATGGTAAATGAAGATATAAAAAAAATCTAAAATAAAATTGAATTATAACTAGGAGTGTGTCAGCCTGAGATTTTTGACCTAGCCAAACTCGAGGTAATATCATGACCACCTCCTCGTGGAGACATCATCATTGTCTTCTGCGATCACTGCAAAATCCTCAATACATTCCTCAGTCATGGAAACATCATCACTGTCTTCCGCAGTCGTGGCAAAATCCTGAATATCGCTAAGGGGTAACAGAAACATCATCATCCTCTCCGGCGGTCATGGAAAAGTTATCAACAGCTTACACAATGACGGCAAAATCTTGAATATTCCTCGCGGTAATGGAAACATTATCATCAACTTCCTCCATGTTTGCAGCAAGAATCTAATCATCTCCCACGGCCGTGTTAATATCATTATTGTCTCCCGTGGATGTGTAGACATCATTATCATTTCCTTTCTCCTTCAATTGCTGCAGAATCGAACATCTCTCGCGGTCAGTGAACATCGTCATTGTCTCCCGCGGTAACAGAAACATCATCACCTTTTTCCTCGATTGGGGCAGTATTCACATCATTTCCAGACGCCTTGTAGACACCATCTTCGTCTCCGATGATTGTGGCAAATTTCTGATAATTTACTGCTGTCGTGTAGACGTTGCCACTGTCTCTTGCAGTCAAGTATCGAATCGAGGTATCGAGAATCGGTATTGAGAAAGAGAATCGACACATCCCTATCTATAAGCTATTTTCTCTCATTACATCTCAAAATGCCTTAGGTAGTAATAGCCCAGGTGTAGTCTTTGCAAAATGAAAATGTTTACATGTTTTTAATCCAATCCAAAATTCTATCTCAATCATATCTTACACTTATAGAGCTCTTCTTACTCTTGCTGTACTCTAAGACAATTCTAAAGCAAACACGATCCACAAAAAACATAAGCACATGCAGTTTGCATATTTGTTGCTTGTTGGTTGTCTTGATTCTTGTGCTTTGCTACGGGTCTGTTTCTATTTGTGCTCTATGTGCTGGTGGTGGTTTTGCAGATTGAGGAAAACAAGGTCGCAAATGTTCCAGTAGCCATCATTGCCAGCAATCGACCTCATTATCTGTATAGGTATGTTCATTGGATTTTATTTGGCTTCTGTGAATTTGCTTGTGTCAAATGTTTTACCTCTTATTTAAGTTTGTATTTGAAACTGTTGTAGTTATATTGTTTTATATGGTAACATATATTAAATGGCACCGTTTAAAATGGTATTTTAATTAGCAGGGTAAAAAAAAATAAAGATTTAGGTGGACGCATAAATTATGCACTATCTTTTAAATTTCATATTGAAACATGCATTGCTGCTGCAAGTAAAATGATAGGGTTTATAGTCAGACAAAATACAAATTTTAGGAACATTGAAACTGTATGCTTTATCATTCGGTGGCGAGATCAAGATTAGAAACCTGTTCCATACTTTGGAAACCAAATAATTTACAGTTTAAAGATGCTTTGGAGAAAGTCCAGAAGATGTTTTTAAGATTCTTGTTTCACAAATGTTTTCAGTATTTATACTTACAAAGTTCCATACCAGGATTTGTTACAAATGTTTGGGCTGCAGAGTCTAGACCTGAGGATAATGATCAAGGGTCAGGTGTTCCTGTACAGACTGGCACATGAATATTCTACTTATAATTGGCATATAAGGGTTTGAAGGCTCTTTAATTTAAAATCTAACAGTATTTGTATCCCGGTTTCTCTTCATTTTTATAACGCTCAGCAACTGAATTTTACTATCATCTGGGGAATCTAGCATTTACGCTTCTTAAGTCAGATGATATCTTCTAAAAATATCTCTCAATAATCTGATACTTACTGGACCAGAAGAGTAACAGATTATCAAAGAAGCAAAATACTTAAACTAACCTATAAGCTACAAAATTACAAAACTTATGATGTTTTATTATGTACTCTTTGAATTAAGGGTCCAAAGTTATAAGTTTACCTGTTGTTAACAAATAAATAGTAATGTTTATAAAGTGCAAAACCCAATTTTATTTAGTATATTAATAAAACTGCATAATGTAGGCCTGATTTTTACCTACATTCTTCATTCATCTAGGCCAAAATTTACGATTTAAGTTTCAAAGTTAGTAAATTATCTGATTAAATTAAATGCCGCTTATATGTAATATTCTAATCTTCCATCTTAAAAAAGATTATTTAAATTTAAACCCAAGTTAAATTAGTAATCCATTGACAAACAGACCATCCCCCATCCCCTACAAATCATCCAATTGTAATTTAAAAATTGTTCAATTGTTTAGTCAGAAAATAAGCAAAGTCCAAACTGTTTTGCAGAATGTTGCGATCGCTTTTGTCAGCTCGAGGGGCCAACAAGGATATGATCACAGTGTTCATAGACGGTTACTTCGAAGAACCATTGGAGGTGACAAAACTATTTGGGCTGAGAGGTATTCAACACACACCCATTGGAGTGAAGAACGCCAGAATATCTCAGCACTATAAGGCCTCACTGACTGCTACCTTCAACATCTTCCCCACAGCTGAGTACGCCATCGTACTAGAAGAGGACCTAGATGTGTCTGAGGACTTCTTTAGGTATAATCATGTGTTTAAGTTTGTTTGAATGAATTTGATTTCATTGCATTTTAATTATGCAATAAAACAAATTTAAGGTAGGATGTGTATAAAAGGTAGCCTAACTTTGTCAGTTTCAAAATTACTTAATTATTCATCAGTCATTTGATTTTTTAAAGCATTGAGAGGTTTGTAGTTTTTTACAAAGGATACAGCTGATTTACTTGAAAGTAGTGATGGGTCGGTACTTCTTGTCAAATGTCGGTTCCTCCGGTTTTATAATAAATAAATAATAATAAATAAATAAATAAAAAATAACATACTCACCAGTAAAAAGTTTAAGTTAGTAAAAAACAGGTTGACACCAGACGCAATTTATCACCTTGTATAAGCCCCCCCCCAAACACAGCGGGTTGTGGTCAGCGCACTGTTGGGCTTCTTCTTCGACCTGACCAAAGCATTCGACACAGTAGATCATGACATTCTCAAGGAGAAGTTAGGCCTACACTCTTATGGAGTTAAAGGGCTGTCACTACAGTGGATCACGTCTTACCTTGCCAACCGAAGTCAATATGGTGGTGGTGAAAGCAGAGGATAGCACTGGGTGTCTTCGCACAGATCCTCTACTGGTACGATCGTCAGTGGAGTGCCTCAGGGGTCGGTTCTTGGTCCGGTAATGTTCCTCCTCTTCATCAATGACCTCCCATCAGTTGTTCAAAAGGATGAAATATGTCTTTTTGCTGACGACACCTCTCTCGCTGTCTCCAGCCCAAACCGACTCAAACTAGACATGTGTGCTTTTATACAAGCCAGTTGCTTGTTGCAGTGGTTCAATGAAAATCTCCTCAAAATCAATCCCACAAAAACTCAGCTTGTTGAATTCTCAATTAGAAAAACCAAAAACAAACAAAATTTTATTTTGGACGACACTGAAACTGAAACCACTGCTCAAGTAACATTCCTGGGTCTGTTGTTGTGTTGGAGAACTTGTGTTAGAAACCCCACATTGATTCTGTCTTTAGAAAGATCAGTTCAGGAATTTTTCTTGCGACATCAAATTGCATTCTCTTAATCTTCGCTTGTCACTTGCATATTTTGCATTCCATCATAATACTAGTGTTACATATGTACTTCTACCATAATGTTACCATCATGTTGTTTCATTTAAAAGCTTTTGTTTTTTTGTGTTTTACTACTATACTGTTCAGTTGGTGTTCTTTATTGTGTTTTCTTGTAACGCTTTAACTATTTTCTCACCTCAGAACGGGATCAGATCCTGAAATGTTGTTAAAACTTTGTTTTTAGTATTTTGTGATGGAAAATGTCCACAATAATGTTTTAGATAACTAATTCTGTTTTGGTAATACTTATCACGAAGTTATTCTACTGTACAGTAATACTACAATATTACAATTTTTTGTTGATTTGATACTACCCAAGCCTTTTATAATCCTCCTATGATTTCCCCACAGCTACTTCAGTCAGACTGTAGAGCTTCTAGAGAAAGACCCAACATTGTACTGCATCTCTGCGTGGAACGACCAAGGATACGAACACTCCAGCAGCAACCAGAGTGTGCTCTACAGAGTGGAGACTATGCCTGGGCTGGGCTGGCTTCTCAAACGTTCTCTCTATAAGCTAGAGCTAGAACCTAAATGGCCATCACCAGAGAAAGTAAGAACTGTTTGATGTGATGTTTCTACTTGTAGAGTTTTAAAACGTACACCGTTTCAAGCAGTGTAAAATACTTTCTAAGATTCAGGTATATATGACCTGAATTTTTTGGTATTTTTTTTGTACTGGTTCAAGATTTATATACCGACCAGGGACCAGCTACTTTTCAGAGGTTGATTCTTTCTGTATATCACTTGGAAGCAGGGGTTGTTCGATAGTATTACAAATATCTCTGTTGAACATGAAGTTTTTGGTTATCCAGGAAATGCTACTGAAGAATAGAATTAGTTGTTCGAAAGAGATATAATTTGTCACAGTATCACAGCTTACAGCTCAAAAAGTAGGCCTACACGCTACGATTAGCATAACTGCAAAAATTTATATATAAAAGTACATAGACAACAAATACTTCAGCCGGTGTCTGCTAAAAAGTCTAGGATGGCATAGCAAATTTTAACAAGCAGCATTATCTTGATTCTGACTTTAAAAACATTCACTGCCAACTTTTTAAGGTTTGTGTGGCATATTGTTCTATATCTTTACAAAAGTATTTAATGCCATACTGACAAATAAATAAGTCACATTTTATTACGAAGGTAACCAAGGACAGTGTAGATCAGTGAGCCTACTTAGATTGTCCTTTTAAAAATAATTTATAAATGTTTCTGCTAAGATATACTCAAAAATAAATTTAAAAGTAATAACGAAATGCCAAGCTACATTTACACTCTTCAAACAAGGACCTGCAAGTCAAAGCAATGTTTAATACCAATTATCCATTACCTAATAAATAAAACAATATATCCAAGTTAAAGACTTTAATCCCTTTGATAATTCACCAGAATTGTTCTTACAAAAATTAATTTCAGCTTCAATCAAGTAAGTACATCCTACATTTTACTCCTGTATTTCCTCCACTTAAGTCCCATTTCACCCGTATTATTGCTGCATTTGTTCACAGATGTGGGACTGGGACATGTGGATGAGGATGAATGAGGTCCGCAAAGGCAGAGAATGTGTTGTACCTGAGGTGTCCAGGACTTACCACTTTGGCTCCTCGGGGCTCAATATGAACTCGTACTTTCAAGATACTTACTTCAAAACTCATTCCTTCAACACTCAACCCAATGTTAACCTAGTCAACATTGAAAGGTGCGTTTATTATTAATACATCAGAGTCCTGCTAATTCGAACCATCTGATAGAGAGGAAAGCTTATTGTATTTAAATTGATTAAGCTATGTGTAATTAATAATAATAATAAATAATATATTTATTGTCATTTAGTAATACATAAATTACAATAGACAAGGTAACATTTGTTACATGTTTTGTTACATTTGTCCATCTATCCATTTGTTACTGAGGTCCAAAAGTGCCACACTAAGATACCCACCAGATTCAAAACCATCCAAAATGTCAGACACCACAGATTCTATAGCCAAAGTAGTTAAGCCAAAGTAAGGCCTAAAACCAAATTGGTTATTGTTTAAATTATTATTTAAGTTCAGAAAATCGAAAATCTGGACTTAAGCACAGGATTAAACTATTTTTGTAATACCCGAAACCATTGAGATTGGTCTATAATTTGAAATGAGGAATTTATCTCCTTTATAATAAAGGGGGATAGTTTTTCTGATTTAATTTAGAAAGGTAGAACTAGATAACACCATGTTTACAAGATGTATCAGTGGTTCCATGATATAGGGAGCTATGAATTTTACAATTTTGTTTGAAAGATGGTAAGCATCTTTACCATTTTGATGGGTTGAGGGATCTTATTATTTTTGTCATAATTCTCTGTTACCAATTTCCAAGAAAATTTATTTCAAGAACGATTAGCATTATTTAGGAAATTAGAGAAATATAATTTTTTACCTTGCTCAACATGAGCCTTCTCTACTAAATTTTTTCCAACATTTATGTATTGGTTATTAAAATTAAAATTATTCGCTGAAAATGGTGGAACTGTATTATTATGTTTGAAAAAATCTAAAAATCCCCACTCTCTGATTTTACGATTTGCCAAGCTGCCTTACATGTATTCCTTGAACTGCTAATGCTAATACATTTCTCAATATATTTAATCTTAGCCTCTTTAACCATAGTCTTGTATTTTTGCCTATAAACTGACAGAGTTATCTTTAAATCATCATGCTTTACTAAATTAGGCATTTTTGTTAAATCTGCAAGAAAAATAACTGTCACATTATGCCGGGGATTCTGTACGTTTTAGCCGGGAAAACCGGGGAAAATGTGTGAATTTCATTTATAGATTCTGCTGACAACCCTGTAAATACAATTTTACTGCATTTCTGGCTAATCTTAACAATTTACTAATCCAAACAGGTCTTGAATTAACAGGCTCTGTGTTATATTTTTATTCTCAAGCTGGTTTGCACCATGCAAAAGGTACAAGACCTACGTTTATCCTATATTACAAATGCAATTACAATATTATATACTGTACATTGTACTGACACAAATTTGTTTATCTTGCTTCTACAGTATACTCATCAGTATGTAGAAATAGCTTGAGCTAGGGTTATAAAGGTTTAGGATGAAAAATTTAAGTAATGAAGGTCGTGACATAACATCATTGTCAGAAATTAAATCAACACCTTAGTATCTAGAATTTTACCCTTACAACATCAGCATTGAGATATCAAAGTCCTACTGTAGCTAGTTTTGAAGTGTTTTAACTTTTAGTTTGTGTTTACTGGACAATGAACTTGACTTTGAAATTGATCTTCTAATTTTCACGTTGTTATGAAGGTTTACTAAAATCTTTTTGCTTTTATTTTTATATTAAAACAATGTTAATTAGGAAATATAATAGTTTTTATTTTAATGAGGTCTGTCATTATATATGTGAGTATTTATGCGTTGTGATGAAATGTTGACTTTGCCTCACACATGAAACTTGAGCGCACACCAGAAAATACCTTTTTGGTACTAGTAATGAAATATACTATTCCAACAAACCTTTTGTGAACTGAAGCAATTTTTTAAATTTAAGTTGGTTCAGTTTTGTTTAATATTTAGGCCTATTGACTAAGAATGTAATTTGCTTGCTGTACAAGATACAAAAGTGAGGTAATTTCGCCAAAGTTACATGTTCTATTTTTAGCAACTTGAAATAAAATGATACAATGACCTTTAAGTTAGAGAACAATATTGACAAATATTGTGATGGTGAACAGAGCATCTTGTTTTTCTTGTTACAGTTGTATAGAATTGTGAAGTAGATGTGTTACCAAGCCTAGCATAAGCGTTCATCTGAGCCAGGGTGACTCAACGTTATCTGAAACCACATCCGCTCTTTTGCTTCTTCATTAATTATTTTCTCAGTAGTTGAACTTTGTTTCAAGTTGCGCTGTTTACCATTATCTTGACAGCAAAGTAAGCATAAGCCAAGTATCCAGATATGCAATAATTTGAAATACAGTAGCATTATAAGTCTATCCATTGTAGGCAGTTTGACGTCAAAGAAGTGTTTTAAAATGGTAAAAATGGGATTACAATTTGAATTTATGTTATAATTATAAATCAAAATTTCAATTCTACCTTTTATAGTTCATGACTAATGTATGATTAGTCATGATAGTTTACAATTGAGTAATTCATCGGAACCTAACAAAGGAAGAGTTTGTTTGGTCAAATGATATTGTTCTTGCTGTTTTAGAATTTGTTTAAGGTTAGCCATATGCGAGTTGATCAGAGCAAAATAGATTGATTTCAGAATGTCAATATTGCACACATGAGACATTTGTCTCAAAGCGTATATGCCAGTTGACATTTTATTTATTACATGATCATCAGCTTATCCCAACTCAAATTCTCGTCCAGTATTAATCCAAGGAATTTTGTATGGTTTACTTGAATAATTTTTTATCCATCTAGCTGAATGTTTGGTTGTAATTTTAATCTAGCCTGTTTTGTATTGAATGATACAAAATTTGATTTATTTTAATTAATTAAAAGATAGTTACTGTTTGAAAATTCACTGACTGATACAAGATTTTAAAATGTTTTAAGCTCTATTTCTTCCTGGGATTCCCCTGTAACTGTGATACTATCAGCATACAGGCATACAGAACCTCCTGCATTTATAGCTTTTGGCAATCCCCTCATATAACGAAGGAATAATAGAGGGCCTAGAATAGATCCCTGAAGAACCTCGTGTTTTATAATCAGAATAATAGTTTTGAGTATAAGTGTATTTACTCATACCCTTTCAAATAGAGAAGTATCTATTATAGACTAGCAGAGTACCCGTCCTTCGTACGGGATTGGCATATAAGTATAAAATGCTTATTCCATTTATACTCAAGCATTGCGTATGCAATGGGGGAGGACACAGTTTGATAAAATTTCCTACTTTAAATTTACGGTATACTATAGTATTACACATCTACCATAGCCATAATGTTCTGCCACTTCAGCTAAACAATTAGAGAAAAATAAATTATTAAAGATTCGCAAAATATCACAAATTATTCACGAAATGAAAAACATAAACATAAGTGTAAACAATCCAACTTTGACAGTTCTCATTGTGTATCACGGCTTTTTTGTTGCTGCTTGGTTCAAATTAGCTGTTTTCATAAACAAAAAAATAATAGTGCTGCACCCTGTTGATAAATCACAACTTAATAACTTTTAATTAATAACTTAATTAATTAAATAATTTAATTATTAACTTTTAATGCTTTTGCGTATCATAGAACCAACTTTTTTAGTTGAAACAGCTGACTAAATTCTTTAATTCCCTTTAAATATGAATACTCATAAGGTTAACATGGGAAACTAGAGAGCCACTGGGGCGGAGTCTAAACTTAACCTGCACAATATGAAAAAATCATGTTTACATTATAAATTCAATAACCTAACTGTAAAAACTGTGAATTCAAGTTCAAGTTTTGAATGGAAAGATGTATAGTGCAAAAATACAGAATGCATGTGAGGTGTTTCTCGTAAACATGTGATATAATGCTGCCGTTGCGGTGTCGCATTAAAGAATGTGTCAGACTATCAGAGGTCAGTATTTCTTGCCTTGCGTATTCTTCTCTTACCAACTATATTATTTTGATTAGTTTATGTATACATTACAACCACCTACCACCACTTCTGTGTACCTATCACAATGTCTGTATAAATACATTTCTGAACATACCCCAAAGATCAAGACCATTGTTCATTGTTGGGAAGTCTGTGTGTGTGTGGAACCCTTGTAAATATCTCTTGCAATCGCAGAAGCTTATATGGTCTCTGGCAATACAATTAAATCGCTGACAATTGAAACATATCCTGTCCCAAGAAAATGCCAAATTAAATGTAATCCCCTCCCTATGATCAGAAATATATTTTTCCATAAATTTCGGGACCCATCCACCTCTTATTTCTGTAACTATTCATTGTAGGTTGTGGATTTTCAACCTTTGGTCTTTCATTATCTCATTGTTCTGAAGGAAATTAACTTAGGAAAGTTATTAATGGGTATTGATGAATGTTACTTACAAGTTAATCTCAGTGAAAGAGACTAAGTTTTCCGTAAATAGGTACTACTTACAATCACTTTTAAAACTTTATTTATCATGATTTTAATTAAAATAGAAACATACTCAAGGAATTCAAATTCAAATTCTTTATTCACTCATTATATCTTAGAGAGTACAAAGAACAAAGATAGACGTGTTGTCATATTAATAATTAAAAAACTATAACCAGTAAATTTACAGTAAAATTATTACTGCTGACAAGTAAAAGTTATCGTTATAAAAAAACTACAAATAAGACAATGATAGTAAAATTAATGAACGCCATCAGGTATGTATTGATACAGGAATTAAGTTTGTAAAATAATTCTTGTCCTTTTAGAAAACATCAGGATAAAAATCTTCTATTTTTTAGTACCTATGCTTTTTCAATTAATAACTCATGTAATTATATTAATAGTATGTTTTTAGGATTGTTGGGGATTCTTTTTGTTAATTTATTAAATATTTTATAGCCATGTGTTTTGGTGTTTGTTCAAAAAGAGTGAGTCTATGTGTGGAAATTGATATAAAACTGTTTCTGACGTGTGGAATAATTTTGTGTAAATTTTAAATGTTCAAAACTGTCTAGATTGTTATTTAGTAGTTAATAATTTTAAAAATTGACAGGCTCGTAACGATTACCATACCTAATCTTTTGATCAGAGTATTTATATTCTATACTGTATGCTAGATAATACATTTGAATAAAAAATTACCTTGATAAATGAGACAAAATATTGTTCAGAAAACTAAAGCAAATTAAATGCTCATTTCTTCAACAAGCCAGTAAAGTGTGTCTTTGTTTATTACTTAGATATTTTAAAAATATAAGTGGTGTAAATTTTTGTTTTCAGCGTGTTACATGACAATTATGAGCAGCTAATCAAAAGACTGATCTCAGAAGGGCAGGTGTTAGACCATAGCAAATCCCCTTGTGAAGAAGATTTCATTCCTGATAAGAAGGTAATTATTGATAATAATAGTAATCGAGTATTGTATATAAACTTTGGTACTTTTAATTATAACTGTTTTTATGTCCTTTATTCACATCCTATGAATGATAGGCTCTATCTCGCAATCCTTAAAAGAATCATAAATTTAATAATTTGCTTTACCTTAATTTAATTTACGCCATGAAAGGTGAACAAGTGTAACAAAATCACCAAATTAATCAAAATATTCTTTAAATAAATTTAATCTCAGTATTTTACTTAGTTTTATGTAATATCTAAAACCAAAAAGGGTTAGTAATATTTTAATGCACATTTATTTGTGATAATGCTGATAACATTTGTTTATTTTCAGAACGATGTGTTTCTTATGTTCATAAAAATGGAAGATTCTAAAGACTTCCGAACGTGGCTTCAAGTCGCTAAGGTATACTAAACATTAACTTTAGTTTTTTTATAGTTGTTTTAGTACTGTACAATAAGCCATAAGCCTTTACAGTAGCTACTTTACAATAGTCTATACAATAGTTAGTACTTTTTTTATCTTAATTCATTGCATCATATACAGGGATATTCAAAAAGATTGGTGCAAAACTAATGGATGGTACATCTGTTTCCGTGATTTCAAATAGCTGATTGTTACACCAATGGAAAGGGTCTGTTTATAAGTTTGTTTTGACAAGGCTATGTTTTGTCTCATTGATTTGGTTGAGTTCCACAAATCCGGTCAACAAAATCAAAGAATACCAACAATAATCAAAGCTATCATGGCAAAAATGTGTGCGTTTTGGCTTGTGAGTAAGCTTAAATGCTTGTAATAACTGCAGTTTGTACAGGTTTTGTCTCAAACGCTTGCGTAAATACGTGGACTGCGTTATGTGAAGTTTCCTACCAGCTTTGACTTTGAAGGTTTTTGGACCCCACGCAAACTTAGCTTCAATTCTCTCTGCAGCGTATGGCAGAGTCTGAGGACTGCCTAAACTCTTCCCGGCACACGAACATCCAGTTGTCTTGAATTGCCTCATCCAACGAGCAATGCAGTTTTGATGAGGAGCGTCTTTTTTAAATTTGGTCTGAAGATTCCGCTGAACACTAACATTAGTATAGCATAATATAATAGCTTGTACAAAATAATTACAACTAATAATTATTACTAATAATAATTTGTACTTGTAATAATTAGTACAAATTAATTCTAATACATAAAATGCTTCTTCTTATTTTTTAGTAGCCATTTGTTGGCAGACTTCGTGGTACTCAACGCAGCAAACTGAAACAAAACATAAACTTGTCAAAACAAACTTATTAACACACCCTTTCCAATGGTGTAACAATCAGCTATTTGAAATCACAAAAACATATGTACCAACCATTTAGTCGTGCACCAATATTTTTGAGTAACCCTGTACTTTGGAAATATAGACTAAAGGAAAGAGCTCTATTTAGATTTTTCTGATAATGTGGACACTTACTTCCCTTCCCGGCCTTGTAGTGTAATATACCATTTTGAAGCATTAAATTGCACTTATTGCATGTATTTTGTCAGTGTTTCAAGATCTGGGACCTGGATGCGAGAGGCTACCATAAGAGTATGTGGCGGATGCGGCTCAAGGGAAGTGAGGTGCTTATCATCGGAGTCCCCAACTCGGAATACTCGTAAGTCATGATGATACTTAAAACTATAATCAACAATCAATTGGAAATCTTAACCCTTTAAAATCAGAAACACTGTTTAATTGTTTTAACAGTGAGGTGGCCATTTTTGTCATTATCATTTGCACAGCAACTCAGATAAATTTCCCGTAGATTGTCCATGCCACACATGACCAGAACTATTCATCAATAATAAATGGCTGATTTAAAAACAATCAAACTCTCTAGCAGCCAGCACTTAAAAAAATATCTTTTACATACAATCTTTTTTTTTGTTTTTATGTTAGCTTTGTGTTGATAACTTAACCCTAAAAAGGCCACATAGAGAGTTTCTGTAGGGTCAGGCAGTTTTTGCCTTCCGTGCAGCATTTTAATTTCACAGTTTTAACACCCCTATTTATTTACCAAAACGTATAATATTATATAACATCGGATTTGTGGCATCGTAAAGAATCTTAATATATCAATGAAATACAAAATCTATTTCATAAAAATATAGTTTCGTAACAAAAAAAAAAAAACAAAAAAAACAAAAAAAAAACACAAAATAATTTTTTTTTCTTTTCAAAATTTCAAGATATTCAAATTGTTAAAAAAAATTTTACCTACATAAATAAAACAAACCATTTATAAACGTTTTTGAGTTATGTTCAAAAGTGTAAAACCATTGAGTGCCAACATATAACATATAATATATAAGAGGGGACAGATAATGCTAATAGTTGTTGATTTTGGTGACAAAGTTTGGGCCACTGACGCTTGGGTTGTGGTAGTCAGTCGGTAGTGCAGTGCACCTCTGAGCACCTTTAAATCATTTAGTATTAAAAAACGCATTATAGAACAACGAAACTAACACCAAACAAACAAATTCTATCAACAAAATTGATCAGAGTTCATTTTCCTACTACTGGATATTGAAGATTTAAATAATAAAATAAACTGTTACCTTGTTATCCTTTTTTCTTCTTGTTATGACCGGTTTGTGACGACAGTCACATCATCAGGTGAATCCTCGTGGAACGATTCGTTATATATACATAAAGTATTTACCGAACACAAAACAAAAACACATTATATTTACAACCAGAAACCATCGCGATGCGTGCACGCTTACGTCAAGCCGGCCGCGACTCAACTAGACTAAAAAATAAAAGTCTCAAATAGAGTCGCTGTCGGCTCTAACCGGCCGCTACGGATTTGTTAACATTGTTGTATTTTATAACAATTCTGTGCTGTTTACGACAATGACACCCAACCATGATTATGATCCAACCGAACGCAAGTGGTTGATCTGTAGATGGCCACAAGAGGATGAAAAGAGCTAAGCTCTAATTATTTATCATTAATCAGATAATGATTTATTCACCATTTTTCTTGATATTCCCAGGCATTTAGAGGATAAATCCATTCTGGAGTAAAAAAATGTCTGTGCCCAAAGAATTAATTGGTTGTATTCATTTAGAGAAGAAGGGTATGAAAAAGTGCCAGAAATTTATTTGTTTTCCATTTTATTCACATTTTAGGCAACATCACTCCATCCTGGAAGAGTTAAACCTGCACCTTTTTGGATTTGACAAACTTACACATTCTCAAATAGTTGATTGACTATACTTAGTAAATACACCCAACTGTTGAAAATATAGTTCAACATTCAACTTTAAATTGATATTTGCTCTTATCACCTCCAAAGTAAGCAATCTTTTCCAAACCTACTGGTTTTTACCTCTACAAAATTTTAAAAGTGATATTTATTTCACTTGATCTTGTACTTGTGATTTACAGAAAGTACAAACCAAGCAACATAACCCCAATCTACCTAGAGTCGCATCAAACGTCCGGACGACCCCGAGATAGATAGCACAGCGAGGGTCTTCTACAGTTCTAGTCATCATTGTGCCAGTGAACCCGCCTAGACAATAACTTTTACCTACTAAATGTTACTGATTATTGTAATTTTTATATGTTTTTAATAATAACATTGTACTTAACACTACTTTGCTCAATACTTTCTACCCTCATAGCATACTGAGTGTGTTAATTACATGAGTTTTGTTGCAGTTTAATTTCTGAAATGTTAGTTCAGTCAGGGTGTATAAAAAACAAATAATTTATAAATTTGGAAGAATAATTGTGATATTCAGTATTCAATCATCTTTATTCATTTTTATATACATAGAACAATGATCAGAGTCGATACAACTACAACACTTATATTAAAAATTGTAATTATCATTGAGGGTAAAATGAAATGTAACCAGTAGCCTTTCTAGGACCTTCTCAAGGAAGGGGTTAATAAAGTGGGGGTCTGGGAATTTGGAATTTTCAAAGCCCTTTGGTGACTTTCTAAAGCCTTTTTAACAGTTTTCCCTAAAACTGTGCCCAACTGTCCATAAACTCCCATTTCACCTGTTGTATGTCATGAGCAAGTAGACATTTAAAAAATCAAACTCTGACCATTGCATTCACAAATTTCTAAACACACTGCAGACTATGGCCATATACTCCTAAAAGCCGTTTGGTGACTTTCTAAAGCCATTTTTAACGTCTAGAACTGTGTGCAAAACCTCCCATTTCCCAATTTATTTGTCATGATTTTAACGTCTAGTACTGTGTCCAATTGTCCAAAGACCTCCCATTTCACCTGTCATACGACATGCAAGCAAGTAGACACGTTTTTTTCTTCTTTTTTTTCTTTAACCTTACATATTTTCTCCATTTTATAGAACTGTCACAATATGTATAGTAACAAATTCAGTAATAGCATTGACTATATAAACTTTAACACTAGTGTTTATATAGTCAACGGTAATAGGCTAGTGGTGCTACCGCTGATGGCTGATGCTTGTGTAAATTAGTAGCCAGCAGACAATTTGACAACTAGGAACACAAAATCAGCTGTTTCTCCGTCCTCCCTCGCCTTTGCCCTAGCATGTCAACATCTGACTGCTGTAAAAATTGGATGATGTGTACAACTTTCCATAGCGTAATATTGTTTTATTTGTCGTGATATTGCCCCACAAAGTTTATCTATGTGTACCTTAATACTAACCGCAGGGGGCTCACGCTTGCGTGGGTTCGTGGCCTGGGCGACCACGCGGACCCTAGCTCTCCCAGAGGGGAGGTAATTGCCCGGTGTTGGAACCGGCACTTCAGGTAGACCACAAGCTATGGACGACTGGACAAGCCAGCCTCTTTGGGTTTACCCAAAGTGAGAGTACCCAGTGACATTCCCTCCATTCAGGGTGGTGGGGGTGTTCAGCTCTGCTAGTGTTGATTAAGTTCATAGATCTTTCACCTGCCTGTAGCTTGTGGTTGTGACTGAGTCCTACCTGTCGTGTACGACTGGCATTTTGTGAGGCATATCCTCGACTTTGGAAGTAGCCTCGTCCTGGGAGGTGAAATACCTAGCCCCCAGAGGGGAGGTAAATGCTCCGTGTTGGTATCGGCATTTTCAAGTTGGCCACAGACATGGACGACTGGGCATCGGGTCCCAGTGACATTCCTTTATCCAGGATGGAGGGGTGTTTAGCTCTAGGAGAGATGGAAGTACATCATAATCTCTAACCTACCTGTGTCTGTGGTTCTTTGGGCTTCGGCCTGCTTGTTGTGTGCGACCAGCATTCAGTGGGCAAATCCTCGACTTTGGAAGTAACCTTTCCTGGAGGTGAAAACGGGCAAGTACCCGCAGCTCACGGGGACACTCAAGGGCAACGTAACTTTCCGCAGTGTGAGGGCAACGGTTTGTAGGTACTTATGCAAACCAATCCCTGTCTCTGAGCACGGACGGTATGGTTATCTTGAGTGTGGGGGGTTCTTCCCGGAACCTCAATTGAGTCAAGGGTGTCGCCACCTCTGGTGGATAGGTTCATCCGGGTGGGTCCCACTTCTATACCTGCCTCCTTTTGGGAAACCCTGATGGCCTGGCAGTGATGTTGGGTCTGACGGGCAAACGAAGTAGATCGGGTGCTGGGTCCGAGCCCGCCAGGGGTATCTGGGGATCTATCGCTCTGGTTATCTCTGGTTTCCCAGCAATGGGTAAGGCCTCGATCGGGCAGCGGTGTAAATGGGAGGTTGGGGTTCCCCCCGTCAGCGTGCTGATGGTCCCCTTCCTCCTGGCTATCGATGGCGGGTTCTGCCTGTCAGGGATTAGATAGGTCCCGAGTGTTGCTTGCACTAAATGCGTCGGGGCGCTCTACCATGGACCTCTAGGTCCCGACCTAGTGGAACCCAGGTGGAGTGACGCTTAAACAAGCAGCCGGAATCCCTGGTTAGGATTGAGGGGCAACCCTCTTTCCGAAGGGTCTGCTTCGGCAGCCGGCGAGCCTGATGACCTTAAGTCATCCGCCCATGGTGTGCTAAAGGTTGATGCGTAAGCTTCGGCCTACATCATGGGGCCCGGGTATGTCCTAAGGATAGGTACCGGGTATGCAGTCAGGGGGCTTCGGCTCTCATGACAACAATAAATGTAATGTAATGTAAATGTACCTTAATACTACTCCTGCCATCACTTATTTAGTTTAATAAAAACTACATTGATGTCTGTTTAATAACATTGATTGTTTTAAGGAAGAAATGTATGTTTAAATTTATTTTTCGAAGGGGGCTTTGGACCCTGTAGCCCCCCCACCCTTGGAACTGCCACTGAAAGTAACAGAACTTAAGAAAAATAATAATAACATTCTCATTTCTTATCCGAATCACTTGAGTAAGGTGGAGAAATCTTTATCGAATAAATGGCTATTCGTGTTCAAGGAACGAATATTTAAATGAGCAAAACACAGGCTTTGAATTCCTCATTTCCCGCCGCCGGGCAAGGCTCCGGGCCCAGGACAGCCCTCTGTGGAGAGAGATCAACCGGGACCGGACCCAATTCCACGTCGGAGGAAACAACTTCTCTTGGAGTTTTCACGTCTAGACATCTCGTCATACGCAGTGCCGCCGAAATCACTGTGCTAAACAATGATGCCAGCCGTAAAGCTCCCCTTCTGTTGAGATGTCTTCCATCTCGAGTAAGATGCCTTCTTCCCACCCAGCAGTTGGCCTCCACAAACATGACCCCAAAACTATTGCACATTGAGTCAAGTTGGTAGTTGAAATCGAACGAAGCTTTGTAACTGATATCTGATCTGATAGTCATTAGATCTAATGACTATGCTGTTAACATACATTTTTGAGTGAGGAAAGTTTTTTAGCCGTAAACAGCAGGTCGGCCATGTCGTGGAGTGCCTCCTGCTTCCCCTGACCTCCGTTCTATCCTGGACCTCCCCTATAACCCATTCACAGGTTGTTCGTGATGGATGTGGATGATTCTAAGATTGTGAGTAACGTATTTCAACAAAACATTCTTCAAGTGATTAGTTCGTGCTCCAGGGCAACATTCTACAAACGCACCTTTTTTCTCTAAGTCTAAGCTAACATGGCGGATCATAGAGTCACCTAAAACTAAAACATCATCATACAAAGGTTCATTACATTGACTCTGCTTGTTGTTATCTAACCGAGCACCTACGGACGAGCCCTGTGGAACGACCTTAGCTTCAAGATTTGTCAACTTATTCCTTTTTTTGACCTACATTTTACATTCAAATCAGTTTTCCATCCCATTTTTACACTATCACCTAGATTTAAATCAATCTCTTCAAATTCTATAGCATTTTCAAAAATGGATGATTCATTCTCCTCTACATCGAGAACCTCAAATTTATTTCTACATACAACATTTGGGGCACCTATCATATAGGGAATAAGCTATTACCGTAGGTGTTATGGTAAGACCTGGACTCGAGACCGATTCACTTTTTTGTTTTAAGGTCCACAGAGGCCAAAAACACCATCTGTTTCAATTCATATGTATATAATTAGAGAATATTATGCAATTGTTTCCCAATAAGCAAAAGAGTTTTTAAAAATGGTCAAAAGTCGTATTACAATTCTTGTATAACAATTTTAAAACATTTTGATTTTAACTTCATATTGCAACAATTTTAATATAAGATTGAAACAATTTTAAAATTGTTTAACAATCAGTTTTTTTCTGTAAAAAATAAGTTTTAATAAAAGTTGTAACTATTTTACAACAATTTTAAAATTGTTTTATTCTTAGTTTTTTTTATAAACAATTTTAAAACAATGTTTAAACTGTTTACAATAGTATTTAACAATTGTTTGTGTAGTTCTTAAAAAACAATTTTTAACAATTTTGAAATAAATGTTTAATTTGTTTGATTATTTATGTTTAATCTCAATTAATGGGTTGTATCCCTTTTTTGGCCGTTTTTAAATTTGCTTGCATTTAATTTGGATATACAGGGTGATTGATATAAGTGTGCCAGCCGTTTTATTCGAAAACTATAAGAGATATCAAAAAAAGTTAAATGGTAAGTGCCTTGGATTTTTTATTTAAAAAATTGTAGTCAAGTCAAAAAAATTATTTTAGCCGCCATTTTTCCAATATGGCCGCCAACTTTGATTTTTCTTATAGAACACCCTGTATTTTATGATGTATTCTGGTAGAAAATGTAATTTTAAGACGATTTTATTATTGTGATTTTTTTCATAAACCTAACCGTTTCAAAGATAATAATGGTTAAAGTTTTGAAATTTCTGCATGAGAAAGAGTTTCGATAAAGGCCTAAGCAAGCATGCCAGCTGTTTTATTCGAAAACCATTCAAAATTTCACAACTTAAACCATTATTATCTTTGAAACGGTTAGGTTTATGAAAAAAATCACAAGAATAAAATCATCTTAAAATTACATTTTCTACCAGAATACATCATAAAATACAGGGTGTTCCGTAAGAAAAATCAAAGTTGGCGGCCATATTGGAAAAATGGTGGCTAAAATAATTTTTTTGACTTGACTACAATTTTTTAAATAAAAAGTCCAAGGCACTTACCATTTAACTTTTTTTGATATCTCTTATGGTTTTCGAATAAAACGGCTGGCACACTTATATCAATCACCCTGTATACTAGATAAATA